TGTAGGATCGAAGAGCAAGAACTAAGTCAATCAGAGAGGGGGTGAATGGTTGGTATACCAAAAAACCAAACTTTTTGCGGAATTAAAAGTGGATCGCGGTTGGACCGAAGTAGTCGCGCTGGTCTGACCGCCTGGAAACCGTCGGTCTGACCGAAGTAGATCATCCGGTTGGACCGCCGAGATTAGCTGCCGTCGCCTAAAGCCGCCTCCGGTCTGACCACAGATACGCCGCTGGTCTGACCGCCGGTGTTTCGCTGGTTAGACCTCCAAACACAAGAAAACACTAATCGAAGAACTCTCAAAATAGATGACAACTTTATTACTTCTCTGTGTGTTTACACACACAAAGTGCAACAACAGCACTCCTCACGGAAATCTCGACTAAACTCGAAATTCTAACTAAACTTACAACTCAATGCTCTCAAAAGCGATACCGGGAAGCCTCACGCTCCCTCTCTATTTATACATGAGGTAGGTAGCCTAAAGCCACGAACCAAACTCATACTAGAAGTCCTAATCCACCTAGGAAACCTTCTCGTACAAGAAACAAACTTTACAAACTCCAATCATATCAAATTTGGACTCCTTCTAAATTCGACTCCGCATCCCATACGCACACAATACATCCATCGTATGCCATATGGAATCTTCACCAACCACGTGCATTAAACTCTAGCCTAAGTATCCTGCATGATATTTGACCGTCACGAACATCGTCTTATCCCCAAGTCGACTCCCGATCCATCACTGGCAATACTCTCCCGAGGCATCAAGTCACCTACACATGAATCAAACAAAGAAATCATATTCCGAGACCAAGCTATCTCTAACTTGACTCATTGTTAGCAAACAACAGTATTATATACGTATAGTATCCATCTAGAAGCCATAAACATGAAACAATCACGGATATCCAAACAAACAGTCCGAAACTGAAACCGACACAGAGTCGGCCGGTTTGACCGGCATCACATGCCCGGTCTGACCGGACCCGACAAAAACAGTAACCTTGTTCTGAACGCGCAGAGATGTAGCCTAGAGGGGGGGTGAATAGGCTTTCCTGAAATTTTCTCAACAATCGCAGCGGTTAAATTAACAGGGCCCGGAACCTCCTGGTGAAGAACACCGGAACTTCCTGGCAGAGATGAGCAGCCTGGAACTTCGGGAGTTCTTGAGCCAGGAACTTCCGGGCAACAGAGAAAATCAAAATTTGGAGAAGCAAAACAGGTCCTAGCTATAGACAATCAGGCACAAGGTTGCACAAGATGTAAATCACAAGATACCAGCAGATTCAAACACAGATCATGCACAAGAGAGACAAAGGCGATTTTTTCCCGAAGTTCGAATCACACGGATCCTACTCTCCGTTGAGGTGCTCAAAGAGCCGGGTCTTGATTAACCCCTTGCCTCACTTATGCAAAGATCCCAGAAGAAGTCCACAGCCTTCAACTCAACACTTCTAGGTCATTTTCTAGAATTGAGTGACCACCAAGATCCAACTCACAATTCCTTCTAGAAAAGACCACAAGTGCAAGTTGCTCTACCTAGGACAACCTCTGAAAACTCAGCACAAGAATCTTTACTCACTTACCTCGTTTCCTTGCGGAGGTGAGGAAAATCTTCACAAACTTTCCCGGGACATCCACAAGATCTTTGGAAGCTCACGGGCGACACCTAACCGTCTAGGAGAAGATCTCCAAGAGTAGGGATGAAAACGGAGCGGATACGGACGGATAATGCTCATACCATATTCGTTTTCATATTTTTTGCCGGATACGGAAACGAATACGGATAGCTCGAATACGAAAACAAATACGGACTATCTCGAATACGAATAAGAATCGAATATGATCGGACACGAATACGGAAACAAATTTTTCTCGGAACACGAAAACCAATTCAACTTCTAATAGAAACAAATATCAACATATATAATTAGATCATTTTATATAAAATATAGTATAATTTATAAATATTTTTAAAATTTTAAATAATATTAATAATGTGGACTAGTGTTAAGAGATGAACTACTATTAAAATCTAAAAAGGTATATTGAAGGTCATAGAGTTATAAAGAAATGGGGTATGTCTTGTGGCTTCTGCAGATATCCGAATAGCACTGTTCACCGGATATCCGAATTATTATCCGTATCCAACGGAAACCCTGATACCATATTCGTATTCGTATCCGAGAGAAAATATCCATATTCGTATCCGTATCTGAACTATCCGAGAATTATCCGATTCGAGAGGTATCCGTATTCGTTTTTATCCGGAGCGGACGGAAACTGTCCGCTCCGGTTTCATCCCTATCCAAGAGTAATAAGCCCAAGTGACAGCTCACAAGGTATCCAAAGTGCTCAAACAAACATAATCTTCAAGCCATCTCCAAAACACTCCTACACTCTAATCTAATATCTCAATCTCACAAGATAGGCTCTAGATTTGAGTGGAGGAAGCAAAGGAAGTTTGGGAGTGGCTAGAAAACCCTAGAACATGAAAGAACTGAAGTGAAATGGCCAAAGGGTGACCTGGGGACGAAATCCATATATATAACGGCTAGGTGACGTCATCTAACCGTTACTCACAAGTTTGAACTGGAAACCTGCCAGGAGGTTCCGAGCAAAAGTGCCAGGAACTTCCGGGTAGCACTTAGGAAAAATCTAGCTAAACTTCGGTGCCCGGAAGTTCCGGTCAGAACCTCCGGGTAGCCCTCTCTGTCTCGGGGAGAAAATAAACCTTGGCGTCCGGAGGTTCCGGCCAGAACCTCCGGGTAGGCCTCTCTGTCCCGGGGAAAAACATTTCCAAAAAAGATTCCAAAAACCTTTAGACTCATGGATATGACTCAGAGCACTTTGTATACCCTAGAACCACACTTGAAACCCCTCTTTATAGTACGGTTTTTCCTAAACTCAATTTCGAAAGTGAAAGACCTAGTCTAATCACCTTCGGTGTTTTTCGCACTTAGGAACATTCAAATTGAGGGGTCTCCTTGCATTCTTAGCCATCACAACTTGCTTTGGGACTAAATTCTTGTGAATAAACTTAATAAACACGTTAGTCCCCTTTAACCACCTTGTCATTAATCACCAAAACCCACTAGGGAGTTTAAGTGCACCTTCATGTTCATCACCTGAAATCATCTCCAAAACCACTTCGTCAATAATATCCAAATATCAAAACCAATAATTACAGATGCCAATTATTCATCACAGAATAAGAATCATAAACAGTTTGATTTTACAAAAAAGGTGCTATAGTCTTTTTTTTTTCACAAACCTTAATCTACTTATTTTGGAACCAAGGGATTATTGAAAAAGAACAATGTTTTCAACCGACAAATTAAGTTGGTTAGTGGATAAAGTACGCTTTAGGTACACATGCACGTCTTCTGTATCAAATGAAATACGGATTTTCAGCTGATCAGTCGTCCACGGTTTCTCTGCTTCTGACGAGCTGAAAGTACTCATTAACATTTCTGGTATGCATTGATCACACGTCTCACCATCTCAGTTGTTACGTAGTAGGAGTAGTATGGATGATAGGATGCCTAACAATACTTCTCCTATCGAATTAGAAAATAAATCCATTTATGATATGCTACTCAATAGTTGCAAGATGTATCTCACCGACAAGCTGGTGAGTTAATGAGTAGAGTACTTACAATAGACGAGATAAATGTTTAGTTGGTATACAATGAATTAGCCCAATCAATACTCTCTCCAATTCTAAATACTATTAAGCCATTTCAGTTTATGCACAAGAATTAAGAAAATAGTACGTTGGCTTCATTCATACTACTCCGTCCACATTGAAAAAGACGAGACATTAATCCATCCACAAATACTCGCTCTGTCCTAAATTACAAGACCTACATTTTTTACACGGTCTATTCAATAATATATTTTGATTAATACTTTATTTCATCATATGATCCTAACAAATATGAAATAAGCATAACATAAAAGAACTTTAAAATATAAATATAGTTATATAACATGTATAATACTTAATATATATATATATAGTTAGTATGATTATTAGTCAGAAGCTACCGAATTTAATTTTCCTTGAAAATGGAGTGCCATATAATTTAGGCGAGGGAGTAAAATGATTTCTGGTCTTATATTTATGAACGTAAAGTAGTACAAATATTTCTACCAACAAATATGAAAGAAAAATGAAAAAAAAAGCACATTTCCGCCGCGTCGTCCTCTCTACCTAAAAAGGAGTTACTCCTATTTAATTAGAGAGTTAAGAAGGCCAGTAGCCCAGTACCATCTTATTACGCAGCTGTGTTCTTTCCTGGCTGATGCGGGTGATTGTGAGTGAGTTTTGTTCTTTTTCGCGCGCACGCTTCCCGAACTACTAAACAGTGTGTTTTTTGCAAAAAAAATTATATAGGAAAGTTGCTTTAAAAATCATATTAATTCATTTTTGAAGTTTAAAATACTTAATAGTCAATTAATCATATGCTAATGGCTCACCTCATTTTACGTATCTTCCCAATTTCCTTTATCTCCTCTCCTCAAACACAGCCTTAGAACCGTATGGTAGCTCAGTTCCAAAATACGACATTTTTAAAATAGTGTCAAATTATAATATGCAACTATTTTTATTTAAAATATCTTACTTTCATAAATATTGTTAGTGAGAGTAAAATTTAAAAATAATTATATTTTAGGACGGAAGGAGTACAGTGTCTCATAAGAAAAACAAAATTTTCTTCCAAAAAACAAAAAGCTAAATAAAGGGTTTGGCACGTGAGTGCTATCATGCTAATCAACCCTGTCAGTCACTGACACTAAGCACAATCACAACCGCTCGCAGCTCACATGATCACATCCACACCTAAGCAGCCTTTTACTGTACTGCTGCTACCACTAATGTTCTTTCTCTCCATAATTGCACATGAGCCAAACGAGAAAAAGCCCGGGTTAAGTTAAATCCAAAAAGATTATTTTTTTAAAAAAATAATATTTTTTTATAAGCGATAAAAACCTCGCCTTTTTCACTTCTCTCTTCTCCCACTTCCCCCCTCCTCTCCTCCGGCGTGCGGAAAATTCGAGACCCCGAAATTCCGGCAATTTCAAACGCGCCCCCTCGCCGCCGGCGAGCCCCAGCGCGATCCTGAGCCCCGGCGGTCCGTCGCCGGAGGTGTTAGCCTCGTGAGGTGGCTCTCGCCGTCGCCGGCGAGCGGCGTAGGCGGAGGCGGCGGCGATGGGGAACTCTCTGGGGTGCTCCGCCTCCGGGGAGAGGCTGGTGTCGGCGGCGCGGGACGGGGACGCGGTGGAGGCGCGGATGCTGCTGGAGCTCAGCCCGGCGCTGGCGCGGTACTCCACCTTCGGCGGCCTCAACTCCCCGCTCCACTTCGCCGCCGCTAAGGGCCACCTCGACGTCCGTGACAACCCCCTTCACGCCGTCCTTTGATTTCTTTCGCTGGTGGTTTTTTTGTTCGATTTGATCGCGAATTGATGTGTGTGTGTGTGTGTGTTTTTTTTTTTTTTTGGTTTGGTTTTGCATGCAGATTGTGACGCTGTTGCTGGAGAAGGGCGCGGATGTGAACGTACGGAACTACTGCGGGCAGGTAGATCTTTGGGGGATATTATGGGGGTTGATCCTTGTGTTTTAGTGCTATTTCGTGCGTAGGAATCGAATTAATGTGAGATCTATCGTCTAGAAGTAATGGAATTAGAAGTTCTTATGTCGTATCTCAAGTAAAAGGAGTGTGAAGATTCAGTCTTTTGGTTGATTTCTTAGCTCTATAGTTAGCTATGGATACATAAATTTATTTGTAATCTGTGGACCTGAGCAAGGTTTGAGTCTTTTAGTGCCTTCTGAGGCTCCTGCTCTATGCTTACACACTGGTATAGGTGTTCCATTTCTATTCATCCATTTTATCTTTATCCGAGTTGGAACATTTTGTTGATATTTTTCTTCGTTTATTTGGAATGGTGGATGAAGACTGCGTTGATGCACGCATGCCGGCATGGCCACTGGGAGGTGGTTCAGATGCTTCTGCTCTTCAGATGCAATGTATGGTATTGTAGCGTGGCATTTCTTGTTAGTTCCATATTTTCTGACACATGGAAGGTGCTGACCTCTCTGTGTGTTTGGGTGGCTTGTGAAGGTTACCAGGGCGGATTACTTGAGTGGCCGAACAGCATTGCATTTCGCAGCACATGATGGACTTGTTCGGTGCGTTCGTCTTTTACTCGCGGACTTTGTCCCAAGTGCTCCCTTAGAGGATGGTGCTTCTTCGACGGTGGATGGTGGTGAATGTCAGACGAATAGTGGGAGCAGTCCTTGTTCTTCTTTGGGACTGAAATTTAATGAATCGTATGTATTTTCAAACGAGTATTGGTTTTATCCTGTCTGAAGCAGCTAACAGTTAATGTCTTGTCACATTTCTTATTTTTCTTTTAGTGCTCGTTTGAGATATATCAACAAACCTGCTGATGGCGGTGTTACAGCACTTCATATGGCAGCTTTGAATGGTCATTTTGATTGCATGCAATTGTTGATTGACTTGGGTGCTAATGTGTCAGCTGTCACATTCCCGTATGGCACTACAGCAAATTTGATAGGCAAGTCATAATTCTTGGCTTCAGCTTGCATGCATTAAATAATGATATTTTTGTTATCTCAAACGGAATTATATTTACGTGTTTATGGAACAGGAGCTGGCAGTACTCCTTTGCATTATGCAGCTGGTGGAGGAAATGCTGAGTGTTGCCAGGTCAGTTGCCGCCAAAAAGCAAATCGCTTTTTTTGCGCAAGTACCTTTTTCAGTTGTAACGGTCGGTTGTCGCGTAATGAATTTATTTAATCTGAAAATTGGTGATGCCATTATTGCAGCTACTTCTGTCAAAAGGCGCTAGCAAGTTGACACTGAACTGTAATGGGTAAGAGTTATGTACTACCTATGTTACCGGTCCAAAATATTGATACTATTACTGTTGCAGTTATTATTAGATCCACATGACCATCTTTGTTTCATATTAACATGTACCCTGTTGTTTAGGTGGCTTCCCATTGATGTTGCTAGGATGTTTGGACGCCGTTTCTTGGAGCCATTACTTTCTCCAAACTCAAACTCGAGTATCCCTGCATATCAACCATCTAATTATCTTGCCTTGCCATTCATGAGCATACTTAATATAGCTAGGTTAGTGCTTAACAACTCACTGCTCACTAATCGGTTTTCTTCTGATGGAAGTAAAGTATAAATATAATTCTTGCTTTTGTGGAAAACAATGAGTGCTGGCTTTTGATATGTAAACCTATGTTTATACTTTTTTAGAAAGCACATAAGGTTGTGATGAAAGCAGCCTCATTATACACTAGCAGATCCGGTACTTATCAAAATCTTTCAGGCCAGATTATGTGCTCTGTAGAATTGCAATAATTTCAGAAACTGTTAAGTTAGGAAGGTAACTACAGTTTTGGCTTCAATGATTTTAATCTTCATTGGCTCATGGGTCATGGCACAGTTAACCTTTTGTTACCTTATGAATTATGTTTGGCTTCCAATTACCTGAAACCAAGCATATTTCAATTTAACTTACAATTCCACCTTGGATAAGAAATGTTTTTTGTTTCTCTTACTATATAACGGTACTAATAATATTATCTTCCTGTCAAAAGATTGATAATGATAAATATATACTTATTGCCTTATTGGAACCTTTATAGATTTTCTCTGTGCATTTGCAGAGAATTTGGGTTGCTGCACACCGTAGCCTCTGTGGATGATAGTGATCTTTGTGCAGTTTGCCTTGAAAGGTCTTGTTCAGTAGCTGCTGAAGGTGGGGTTTACACACTTGCAAATTCATAATTTCAGTCCTTTACTTACTAACGGATAAATTTCAGTCTGCTGTATTAACTACAAGTAGAAAATGATTATCAGATGTTCATAGTTCTCTCTGCTCTGCTCATAGGTTGAGAACGTTGCTTATGTTCATTTTATTTGTAAATTATAATATGCACTGGCAGGTGATTGTTTGTGTTTCTATCCAAAGTAAAACTTAATGCATGTTAGATGTTGTTAGTATTCTACCTGACAGAACACCTATTCAGGGTAAGGATTTGCCTTAGCAAATTAACGCTGTTGTAAATTGTAATTATACCTTTAGTCTACCATCCAATGAAAGGGATGTTCAATTTTCTAGTTCTGTGCAATTTATCGCTTTCCTTTATCTAGTGAAGGTTCTATGCATATTATGTAACCGTTTTGTGAACCACATTTTTGTTCAGAAAAAAAATGTTAGAAAACAGTGAGAGTAAAGAAAAAACTACCTGTATTATCCTGAAACTTGTCTGCACGGAGTGTTTGGAAGCTTCCATTCCATATATGCTTTTTTTGTATGATTTTTCACTCATTCGTGCATATCACGTAGTGATGCATCACTGAAAAATGTAATGCTGCCCTGACATTATATTCTGTTCTTTCAGGTTGTTGTCATGAGTTCTGCATCAAATGTGCTCTTTATCTTTGCTCAACGAGCAATACCCGTGTTGAGTTCACTGGCCCACCTGGATCGATTCCGTGCCCTCTTTGTCGGAATGGAATAATGTCATTTACCAAGTTGCCAAGCACGCCAACAGAAGGGCTTAAATCTAGCTCAGCACTCACGTTCTGTAATCCATGCATGCTAAACACCCGATCTGTAGACTCACCAGCAACTATCAGCAAAGCAGAAATAAGGCGCAACCGTGTTGCAGCTGTCTCTTCAGAGCTAGTCTGCCCACTAACCTGCAGCCCATTTCCATCGTCTGCCCTCCCGACCTGCAGGTGCAGTGACGATGATCCATGTGATGCCATAGAAACACAGGATGGTTCCGAGGTGCAATCTCCTCAGCCATCGCACTGCGCAAGCATGGAGATGGACAAGAGGGAACAGCAGGATCTTGACCGGACTAGCTGCTCAGGCATGTTCTGGAGCCGAAGAAGCTGCCACAGGGAGGAGCAGTGTAATGCAGAGATCAATGCTTGATTGTTTCTTCTTTCTGGTTGTTAATATATCTGGATTCATAGCAGCTCAATGTGGGAGATGAGCAGCGGTTATTTTTTTTGCCTCCCCAGCTGTGTTTCTTTCCCCTATTTGCAGCCAAGATTTTCTTGATTGGTGAAGTGAATCCTGCAGCTTTTGGCTGCTGTAGTTTTTACTGTATTGTAGCATTTTGGTTACAAATGTGTGTCGTCCCTGTGATCCTAGATAGCCCCAAAATCACCAGTTACTCCTCTTTGTAGCTGTATGTAAATTGCAGGAGTTGGTTGGGATTTGTTTTCTGGTAAAGATGTTGAGAATCTATGTACAATGGCATCAGTCATTTGCCCTCTTAAATCTTAATGATAATACTATATAGATCATCCATAATCTCATCAATCTCTTTTGTACGGTACAGTGTAGCTGAGCTCACACAAAATGCTTCTCTTCAGCATTTTGCCTGTGCCGTCGCTGAGCTGTTACGCCGCCGCCGGCAGGAGCGTGGTGACGATCCTGTCGCCGAGGCCCGGCACCGCCGAGAGGAAGTGGCCGACGCCGGCGAGCTCGTGGTAGCTGATCCAGCCGAGGCGGCGGCAGATGTGGCGCTGCAGCTGCACCGGCACGACGCCGTCCTCGTCGCCCTGGAACAGGTGCACCGGGAACGGCGGCTTCTCCAGCTCCGCCGGCTCGAACTCCGGCCACCGGCCGAACATCACCGCCATGTCCCGGTAGAACGAATCCTGCACCCCCTGCTGCGTCGCCATCCTCGCCTTCTGCAAAAATCAAAATGCATGCACACTGTGTCACTGTCTAGCTATCAGCCATGGAAGCTAGAAGAATTGTGGAAGGTTCTGGGACCTTCTGGAACAGTCCGGTGGAGAGGGCCATGAGGCGGTTCTTCTCGTCGAGGGCGTTGGGGAAGGAGCCGGAGCCGGAGATGACGGTGGAGGTGGGCAGCCAGGTCTGGTTCATCCACCAGTGCAGCAGCCATGGCGCGTAGTAGGCGACTCTCAGTGACCACTGGTCACCCACCGGCTGCCTCCTGTACAGCTGCCGTGCCAAACCCCTCGGCAACCCCGGCCACCGGTAGTTGATCACCGGCGCCATCATCGCCGCCCCGGCCAACCTACTCACATATACACCAATTAATGGCAGCACAGCCGATCAGTATATTGAGCACAAACTTCGTGCTCTTTACGATCGTAATTAAAAGATTTAAAATTTTTCTAGTGAATTTCACAAAACTATATATATATATATATATATATATATATATATATATATATATATATATATATATATATATATATATATATATATATATATATATACTTTGTGCAAACCGTCATAAGATTATAGATTTAAGAAGATTGTATCACAAACCTACAGATTTAGAATCGAATTTATCATGAAACTTGGATTTAAGATAAAATTTCATAAAATTACAAATTAAGTAACAAATTTAATCATAAAAGTACAACATTTATAGCTCGAATATAATGGTAGTGTTAGGGATTCATATTTTAAAATATATAGTTTTGCGTGGTAACTTCAATATGAAATTCGTAGTTTTGTGATATTTAGACTTAAATCGGTTTGTGATAAAATTGATGCTAAATCTATATTTTTGTGATATAACATATTAAAAGTTTTATAATAGTTTAGTCATAACATCAATAGTTCTATAAAATTGACTTACAATTATTCAATAGTTAAACGACATAAAAGTTTGATTGGATCTTATCGCAAATATCAAATGTGTATGACTGATACTCACTCCGGTCTGGTCTATAATACTGATAAGAGAGAGTACTTTATTTTGTACTCGTATTATATCGTATTATAGTATTGTTGTTGTTTGTAAACAGTTATATATGGTCTTTAGATGCAACTTTGACGGAAGCCGTATGTCGTGTTGGAATTTACCTGTGGGGGATGTACTTGAAGGAGGCCCAGGCGGCGTGGCAGCCGAGGGAGGAGCAGATGAGGTGGAACTTGGGGCCGAGCTGGAGCGCGTCGGCGAGGTCCTGGATGTCCATCGCCGCGCTCCTCAGCGACCTCCTCGGGTCAGGGTCGCTCTCGCCGTACCCCGCCCGGTCGAACGCCACCATGTACACCCCCAACTCCTTCAGCAACGCCTGCATCCATCCACGCCACAGCCGACCAGTCAGCCACACCAACCCAACACAACCAAAATTTCGGCGAAACGATGGGTGGATCGGCATCGGCGTCGGCGGCGGCGCGCACTAGCGGCGTCTGCGTGCGTGCGCTGCCGCGCGTGTATCATGTGCTGGGGCGGCGCGGCAGCTGGTGCCACCGCCACTTTCATTTCAGGCACGAGAGGACGGTTTCTTTTTCCTTTGTAACATTTCTGCATGTATAATCGTTGCATGACATCACCCGTGTATTCTGTCTGCTTATACATGTCTTAAAATATAAAAGAATTTAGATGAATGTGTCACATCCATCTAAAATCCAATATATTTTAGGACGGATGGAGTATTTATTTGTATTTAAATGTGTATGTCTTGAAAAAAAAATATATATGAAAACCTAGAAAATTCACTGTCTAAAAGAAGAGAAATTTTACTGTTCTTAAGAGATATTAAATTTTTTAAATGAAAAATTCTAATTACTCTTGGTCTCTAAAATACAGAGAAGTAGATATTCCAGTTTTGAAAATTTTAAAATTTTGGTCCCTAGGAAACTATTCCGTCCGAAAATTTATTTTCCTTTTTTTTTCTTAGATTTAACATAATATATTCAAATTCTAGCCAAAACATATTCAATTTTTGAATTATTTCAGGCCTAAATATTTCAAGATGTCGTTTCTATCGATCACCTCGAAAGAAATATGCAAACTGATATATACAACCGAGATACCAAATTAATTTACACTCAAAATATTGGTAACAAACATCCTAAAATCACTTTAAAAAGCCATCATATATACTCCTTCCATCTACTTTTGATATGTATATTTCTAAATCTAAAAAATTTATTTTTGATAGGCATATTTCAATCCAACGATCTATCATTTTAATGACTTTCTCGGATTTAATGTGCGATTCTCCATTTCTCCACACAAGATTGGCTACATGGGCATCGAGAAATGTAAATATTAATGAATCGCTTATTTACGAGGAATGATTAATATGTTTAAATGGATGATAAGTAATTAATTACTTATTTTTTTGTCTGTGTGCCAAGATGAAATATGACTATCAAATGTAGATGGAGGAGGGACTATTTCGTTATTTCCAAAAAAAAAAAAAAAACGGCCCAAGAAGTGCACTAATTTACCCTGTTTTGAACCGTCCGATCAATTCAAAGGATGGATGGATCGCTCTGGTAACCAAACCTGGGAAGCGCGGGGCGAGTCCATGCGGCCGCCGGAGAAGCCATGCGAGTAGACGACCTTGAACCGCGCCGCCTCCCGCCTCACGCCGGACTCCGCGTACGCCAAGAACCTCCCGTCCCGCACCCGCACCCTCGCCGCCGTCACCGGCGGCCCGCCCTCCGCCCCGCACGGCGTCGGCGGCGGCGGCCGGACGGCGTTCACGAACCACCCGGCCACCATCGCCGCCGCCATCAGCACCAGAAGCGCCACCGGCGGGCTCCCATTATTCCCTGCAAAAGCAAACACATGAACACGCATAGTATCATCTCACTAATGGTTTCATCTGCTGCATTAATCTTCAGCTTTGCATGTACTTCTTGCAGTAAGTTACCAGTAGAAGCAGCAGCCATTGGAGACGTACGATGAGAAGCTTGAGAGCCAAAGGAAGCGAGCTAGGTAGGTAGCTAGTTGGAGAAGAAGCAGCTGTGTTCGGATTGTGTATGTGTTTGTGTTAGTGTTCTTAATACGAGTTAGGTAATTGAGCTAATTAAGCAAGCTTAGCTAAGCTAGTGCGATCGAGCTGAATAGTATAGTAGTGGAGCATTTGCTGATGAATTTTTTTAGTGGAGAAGCAACCCTTTCAGCAACCTACCAACACCCCTCTATATAAACGTACATGATCCATCAAGCTGGTGCGTCTGCTTTAATTTTTTGCAAATGCCAACTAGTAGCAAAATCTCTCTCACCTACCACGCATTTGAAAGGGATCTGAAACTGAAATCAGATTGTACAACATGATCTCTCTCACCTACATGTACATGATCTGTTGCAAAATGTACACATGTGGGTCATACTAAACAGTTTGTCCTGTGCAAATGATTGAGATTTTGTGGATTGTTTATGTCGCAAACGTGCTTTTCCCAAACTTTCAGACATATAAACCAATAGACGCTATGCCAATTGGAATATCAAACTCAGTGTACCTGTGTGTCTTCTGTACTTGAATCTCCTAAAAGAATAATTACCGTACTAGAAACAATATGAAAATGTAAAAATATTGCTTACGTGGTAGTGACGTAGGTGATGATGTTTTCATCAAAGGCTACAATCGCTGTTGCTTTTTTTCTTCTTCTTTTTCATGGAGTGGTGGTGGCACCAGGAATCTATTTTCTTCACCCCTTGAAATTGTCTCTCACCTGCTGCCTCATTTTTCAGGACAAATCCTTCAAATTTGTTGTTGGGGTGGGTGGAGATCAGTATGAATGGATCACAAACAGTCTCTTCCTTTTGGCATCTCATGCATGTCAAAGCAGTACATATCTAGAATCATCTCACCAACTCCAAACGCTGATCTGTTGAGGTTGAGACTGAGAGTGCTTTTAATTTAGGCTAGTGACCAAATGAGGTGAGATTAATCTTCTCCGCTTCTGGGTCAGTAGTGACCTTGGTAGGTAAAGACTTGTTTCAGAAGTTCCTCTTCTTTACACATAATTTGTCAATGCTTATTTGTGTTCTGGTAGAAATGCAGAGTACATGACCGGTCTGCATATTAGAGTCTTTCTTTAGACTAGACCAAATCCCTTGTATTAGGCCTAACTTCGTTGGGTTTTAGTGTTTAAGCACAATTAGTCCTTTCCTGATAGAGTCTAAGGATACTGGGTCACTAAACGTTAATGGAACACTATATATGAAAACAGCGTATTGACATTTTTTAGGTAATAAAGGCATGGCTTAATCTGACACAGTTGGAAATTCTCTGAACCATGCTAGTTATTATCCTTGACCACATTTTTGGGTCTTGTTGATGACTACTCCCTCCATCCCAAAATAAGATCATTTTTTACCCCTTCCATTTGTCCTAAAATAAGCCTATTTTAGGTAATCATTGTATTGAAGTTTATGAAAGTAGGGATAAATGTATTGGAAATAGATAAAGAAAGAAATAATTGTATTGAGATTTGATAAAATAGGGATATTATAATCTTTTTGGTTTTTTTCCTACATAATGGATAAAATCCCATCTTTGCTTAAACAAAAGCTACATCCACTTATTGCAATGTACCTAAATTAAAAAATCAGAATGAAGTATCTAACCAAGGATGAAGAGAAGACACATTATAAAGCCACCAACATAGAAGGAGAAATACAATTTATAATGATATATTATAAAGTTTTTTTTTTGTTTTGTATTGGTATGTGTGGGATGGCTAGATGGGTGAAAAATGAAATTATTTTGGAAAGGAGGGAATAATTACTTTTCCGGTTGTTGTACAGTACAACACCAATGATTTTGTCATTGCCAAAAAGAACCTTTTCTTTAGACGGAATTGCTTTGCAGGCTAAGTCACTGAGACTGAACGGCTTTGCAGGCCAAGTCCCTTTCTCTGAATGAAACGAAACCTCTTCAACCTCCAATCCGACCCGCTTGCTTTGTCAAAAGCAAACAAGACTTCAATATGCAGTCCGATCAGGCACTCATATTACTATATGGCATCATCTGAACATGAGTAAAGGATATCACGGCTTATTTGTTAACTCGAGGGAAGGGGATTGGGAGTTTACATGAGGGAATTGATGATGAGATTAGGATGGGAATTTGATTTTTAATCCCAATATCTTGTTTGGTAGAGGTGATGAAAATTGATAGGGAGTTTAGTTGAAGATTAGGTCAATAAGAAAAACGAATGGCTGAGATTTGCTTAGACAAAATAAAGAAGGAATTCCCTCCCAATTACCTGCTCCTACCCAGGTATTGAAAATGAGGGAGTTCCTTCCTCAATTCCCCATCCCCATCCCACCTAAATTCCCATGTCTCCCAACCAAACAAAACACTTAATAGCCTCATCCCTCTAAACTCCCAATCCATCTTAAAAACTCTCTCCAACCAAACGGGCCATCAATGGATTTGGCTTTCCTCCTTTTCTTTATTGGGGAACGCTCAAAAGACTTCGCAACTTTGCATTGGTAAGTGATAACATTATCAATGGTTTTTGCTTTCCTCCTAGAATAATACCCTACCAAATCCCAATTATTTGTTCAAAGAATCTAGGATGGAGATGGTTAGTTGAACATGTACCACGTCCCAAAAACTCTTTTTTTTTTGAACGAAAAAAAAATCCCAGACCTCTGAAATGCAGAAACAGATTGTGACAGTAATGAGAACAGTCTAATATCAGTATATATATTTGTTAACATTATCACTTAGCAGGGTTTCTTGGCAGCACAAATCTGCTACAAAATAAAAGGAAAAAAAAATCTGAATGCTGCCTCATGTAGTCATGTGAGATTAACTGAGCACTGTAGTACTACTCTACTGTATTTTTGCATCACTCTTCTTCTGTATTTTATCGTTGCTGATCAGCCGAAAAGTGTCCGGAGAACGGTGTCGCCGAGGCCGGGGACGGCGGAGAGGAAGTGGCCGGTGCCGGGGAGCTCGTGGTAGCTGACCCAGCCGAGCTTCCCGGCGACGTGCCGCTGCAGCGCGACGGGGACGAGGCCGTCCTCGTCGCCCTGCCAGATGTGCACCGGGCACGGCGGCTCCGGCAGCGCCATCGGGTCGAACTCCCACTTCCCGAACATCACCGTCATGTCCCTGTAGTACGACTCGTTGATCCCTTGCTGCGTCGCCATCTCCTTCTTCTGCAAAAAGAATCGCCATTTATGTCAGCCATGGAGGTCACAGCAATGGTGGCGGCGGCGGTATATATTTTCTACACTTAAGTATCGTGAGATCTGGTATATGCATGTGGTTTAAATAGTTATATAAAATTAGTATGGTGGCTCGCGCAGATTGCGCGGCTAGTATCATTATATTTTCTCTCATATAATAGCATATATGTTTTCTTATTATATTATTCAAATATATTAAAATGACAACATAAATTTAAATTTTGCAATAACTTTAAAAAATACTAATGTGTAATATTCATATTATATTTTATATACGTGTTAGTTATTAATTACTTTTAATATTAAATTTTAGTTATTTGTAAATTATATATATTCCTATATGGACTCTAGACTCGTCTTTTAATATTTCTTTTTTTAATTCCGAATTTTTTGTAAATTGTATTTCTATATAGACTCTATGTTCTTCCTCCAATATTATTTATTTTTATTTCTGAATTTTTTTTATTTCTAATTGTATTTCTATGTGGACTCTAAATTTATCTTTCAATATTCTTTAATTTTTAATTTCGAATTTTAGTTACTTCTAAATTGTACTTCTATATTGACTTTAAACTATTCTTCCCATGTTTTTCTTAATTTTGAATTTTAGTTATTTGTAAATTGTATTTTTATACGGACTCTAAACTCTACTTTTAATTTTATTATGTTTATTCCAAATTTTAGTTAGTTTTAAATTCCTATATGGACTCTATACTCAACTTCTAATATTCCTTATTTTTTAATTCCGAATTTCTATTTTTTTTTCTTAATTGTATTGCTATATGGACTCTATACTCTACTTCTATTCCTTATTTTTAATTCCAAATTTCTATTATTTCCTAATTTTATTTCTATATGGACTCTATACTCTACTTCTAATATTCCTTATTTTTAATTTCGAATTTCACTTATTTCCTAACTATATTTCTATATGGACTCCATACTCTACTTCTAATATTTCTTATTTTTAATTTCAAATTTCACTTATTTCCTAACTGTATTTCTATATGGACTCCATACTCTACTTCTAATATTTCTTATTTTTAATTCTGAATTTCAGTTATTTTCTAATTGTATTTCTATATGGACTCCATACTCTACTTCTAATATTCCTTATTTTTAATTCTGAATTTCAATTATTTCCTAATTGTATTTCTATATGGACTCTAGTCTCCTCTTCTAATATTCCTTATTTTTTAATTTCGAATTTTAGCTATTTCTAAATTGTATTTCTATATGGACTCTGCCTTTTCTTTTTCTCCGGTTAATGTGAGAATTTTTAGGCCATGAGAGCGAACGTGGAGACTCTTTTTTCTATTCCTTTAATAATATAATAGATTTGATAATATACAAACATGAAAGTCTAAATTTGATCTACACATAAAGAAACAAAAATAACAAAATTTATATGCGTCTTACCGTTACTATTCGTTACCTAATTTTATTATCTTTGTTTCTCTAGTTGTAGATTAAATTTAGTCCTATATATTTATCTATAGACTTATTTCATCCCAATTATACTATCATTTTTTAGCTTCTTCTTTAACTATTAGAGACGCACGCAAATAATAGGTGCCATGATACAAAGACGTAGAAAAACCCATTTATCGAGTTGTCACCTTTTGGAGGGTGCCGTCGGCGGTGAGGGTGCGGCGGATGTCGGCGTCGCGCTTGTTGGGGAGGAAGGTGGTGTTGTCGACGACGGTGGAGGTGGGGAGCCAGCTCTGGTCCATCCACCAGTGGAGGATGGCCGGGGCGTGGTGCGACACGCGGAGCGCCCACTGGTCGCCGTACGACTGCCTGCCGTACGCCGCCGCGGCGTCCTCCGCCGGGAACCCGGGCCACCAGTAGTTCACCACGGGCGCCATCATCGCCGCCCCGGCGATCCTCTCCGGGATGTACCTGAGCGCGCCCCACACGGCGTGGCTGCCGAGGGACACGCCGACGACGTAGAACTTGTCGCCGAGGCCCAGCGCGTCGGCGAGCTCCGCCATGTCCAGCGCCGCGCTCTTGACGGTGCGGTTCGGGTTCGGGTCGCTCTCGCCGTAGCCGGCGCGGTCGAAGGCGACCATGTACACGCCCAGCTCTTCAGCCACTTCCTGAGATTTTCACAAACACCGTACGTGCACGTTAGTAAATAAGTCAGCATCTGCGCGGTAAATTATACGAGAACCAATCATGATTTGGATCGAGAATTCAACATTTAGTAGAATCGTTCGTTGCTCTTGACTTGTTATAACTTATAACTAATATAATCGTGACGTTTCTTGGGAGAGCAGTTCAGCATGTGGTACGATCAAGAAATAAAAATAAAAATTCGTTCTTGGCCGCGTTGACAAAATAAACGGCTTGTAAGTTACGTGTACACGCTTTTGTCAGCTTCGTGATAATCTGACTAAAACCACCCAGTTTCCGATTTAATTGACTCAAAAACATCGTTAAGAAATGCGATTCCATGCTAATTAATTTGGTTTCCAATACTAAAGTATTCATCATAGTTCACTTGGAACAGCAAAATTTTGAAAGAAGTTTAAATTATCATCAAATGCTCTGGGAAGAAGAATCGGTCGACGAACTAATTACCGGCGAGGCGCGGAGGCTGTCGAGGCGGGAGCCGGTGAAGCCGTGGGAGAAGACGATCTTGTATCGCGCCGCCTCCTTGGGCACGCCGGACTCCTCGTACGCCAGGTGCCGCCCGTCGCTCAGCCGCACCCGCGGCGCCGTCACCGGCGGGCCACCCGGCGCGCCGCACACCCGCGGCGGCGGCGGCATCACCGCCCTGGACAGCAGCTCCCCGAGCTGCCCCACGAGCGTGCCCATGGCGCCCATGCCCCTGGTCTTCTCGCCGCCGCTCATCGTCGACGCCCACAGCAACCTCTCCGCCATGCCACACAGTAGTGTTCGTCGAGCTGTCGGCGATGGCTCTCTCGATCGATCGATCTCTGTGCTGTGATGTGGCTGTCTCCGGCGAGCGCGGAGGAGGAAGAGGAGGAGCGAGGTAGGGAGCGATGGCGAGCAAGCAGTGCGCGCGGGGTGCTGATTTATAGTGGGAGGGGCGGGAAGACGGCGTGAGAGACCGAGACGTGGTCGCGCGCGCTGTGGCTCGCGGCGTGGTGGTTTGTGGGTTGTTGGTTGGCTTGGGTTACGCGGTTTTACGGGGTGTTTTGGCGAGCGACGTCGCGCGACTCGCTCGCTCGCTTGGGCGCTCTCGGCGCCACCTAACCGGGCCACCAACGGCGTCATATGGCAGAGTCATGCTACCAAACCACCAACGGCGACTCTGACAGTGAGTGTTAGGGTGTGTTTGGTTGCCTGTGTCTAGCTAGACCTGTATCTCGGTTACCTCTCAAGTGTGAATCTTAGTTGTCGGTGATGGAGCCAGCGGCGTCATCAAGTCCGGACAACTAATAGTGTTTTTTTATTATCGATTAATTTTTATATGTGTCGATGGCTATTGACAATGGAGACGGCAGCGGCGGAACCTGGGCGGTCGTCCGAAATACTCGGGTGGTGGCTCCTTCAATGTTAGTTGCATAGTATAGTGTTCTATGGTTTATTTTTAGAGTCCATGTGATGCATGTGATGTGATGTTGTTATGTTGTTCCTATAAGTTGCAAAGTAGTATACGTTTGTAGAGTACACTGTCAATCGGTTACCATGTAAGACTAAAAATCACCAGATAGAGAGGTCATTCATCTGATTTTTAAGAGTTCGGGATTATAAATATATATGGTTTTGAAGTTGAGGAGGCAAATTAGAAAGACTGCAAAAGTTTAATTTTAAACCTTTTCCCTCAAAAATTACTCAGTTCGAAAATGTTTTTTCCCTTTTATATTTTGCCATCATGATGGACTCTCTGAAGCCTGAAGGTGTCCTTTGCAAGTTTGCATTAGTTTTTTCCTACTCCCCAAGTTAATTATTTGTCTGTGTGTGGTGTTCATTGATCTGAACTTGTGGCATCGCAGCCATAACATTCTCGCCTTCTGATTTTCAACGAATCATACGTTAAATAATTAAACATAGGATGCGTCGTCATATATACTCTATTCGCTAATCCAACCTCCACTAACACAAATACACAATAACACTCATGTGAAATACGTACCAAAATATTCCGGCAGTACTGCTGAAGTGAACTGATCATTCCGAAGAGTATAGTTTTATTCCGACTACACAGCTTGTTGAGTGTCGTTTAATTAGCCGAGTGTACAAGAGCAGCGATATGTACGTCCCATGCAAATAAATTAATTTCGTCCATGCACATACACATCTTGAAGAGCTGTACCGCTGGAATCTTTTACTTTTTTGATGCCCTGTACCTCTGGAATCTTGGACAGCAGCTGCAAGTCTTAAGAGATCATGATGCCTGCCTATGGTCTTTGGTTAATTAGCGATAGTTTTGTTATAGCTAACCAGAACCACGTGATTAATCCACTGATTTAACTAATACCCACCCGTCTCAAAATATAAAAAACTAAGACCAGATGCGAAAATATCTTATTTGGTACTAAGTTCGATCTTATATTTTAGGATAGAGGTAGTAGTACATACCAAAGTCAATTCTCTTCGTTGGTTATGGATAAGGTATACTTTATATATACTTGTATTCGTGACCATTGAAAATAAAGATATACCGTTGGATTTATCTTCAAAAGTATTTTCTTACCAAATGATTTTTATAACACATCGTGTAACGGAAGAAGTAAATTTTACGTCTACAAAAATGTAACCAATATAAAAAACGTCTAAAAAATGTAACCAATATAAAAAACGGAGCATTGTACTACACATGCAATCATGCGTGAGTGCTTGCGAGTTTTACCTGCGACGCGCCGAGGCCGTCGAGGCGAGAGCCGGTGAACCCGTGCGAGAAGACGACCCTCACGCGCGCCGCCTCCCTCGCCACGCCGCTCTCGTGGTAGGCGAGGTGGCGACCGTCGCGGAGCCTCACCCTCGCCGCCGTCACCGGGGGCGGCCCCCTCTCCGCCCCGCAGTACGCCCTCGCCGGCGCCGCCGCCCGCCGGTACAGCCAGCTCGCCGCCGACGACGAGTACCCCAGCAGCGCCGCCCCTCCGCCGCCGCCATTTCGCCCCTCGTCACGCCCCCACTCCCGCGGCATCGCGTCACGTCAGGTAACGTTAAAATCTGGCTCGTCTCGGCGTTGCACGAATGCACGATGATATCGTGAGTTTTTTTTTTTTTTTTTGGAGGGGGGGGTGTTTTGGCGGTGAGATTGGAGGTGGATTATTTGTAGCGGAGGGGACGGTGGAGTTGGGTTGGGCCACCGATCGAACCGAACCCGGCTTGACCGGCTGGATCGGTTGGTGTTGGTGGTATTCATGCGGTTTTATCTTTTCGCTTATATTTATACTTATCATCTAAAATTTAAATTTTTAACTTTAAATTTGAAATTGTTTTTAGGGTTTTTTTCATCGATGTTTATTTTTCAGCTTTCACTTTTAGATAGCTAAGACACGGATATAAAAGTTTTACTCATAAATTACTTGTGCAATAAGCCAAACGATGGGGCCGATGGACTCTGGTCTGATGTATTTTTGTTGTTTTGTACAGTGTGCAAACATGCCTGTTCTGATGTTTCATGGCCTCATGGGTTGGTGTGTGAACCGTGTGGTTGATTCTACGCTTTCTCCCTGGTCAAAACAAGTTCTAGGCTTGGGAGTTGGTGTGTGGAGAGTTTGGTTCAGTTCGGGTATTGTGTCGGCGTTGCGCATTGCTGCATTCACATGTCTGCCTGTACGGCTGTACATGCATGATAGCACTACTGAAGGAAGAATTGACAAGTTTAGTCGTTTACTCGTTTGACATTAACAATCGTATGGAAATATGGAATTTGCAGAACTGAATACACGCGCAACTAGATGACAATTGACAACAAAGGCCTACAGAATTCAGAGAGCGTTCATCTCATTCACTGCTACTTGAGACCATGTTTCGGGTAAAATTTTCTTGGACTTCTAAATCAACTTTTCAATTTTGTATTAGTCTTTTTTACGATTAACTTTGTAGTAGTTAATTAATTCATTTATACCTTCAAATAGCTTCCATAAAAAAAATCAGATAATCCATCGCAACGATGATTACTCTGGCACCAACCGTTGGCCTTGGAGAACTGCCGTGCCATCCTTTGTTTTTTCCTTGGTATATTTGGTTCTCTTCATACCAACGATATATAGCACTTTGGTGTACTCAGTCCTTGGAGAATTGTCGTTTGAATCAATCTGAATTGATTAGCTCTACGAAAAAGATGAAACATTCTTGGTTGGCGTCAACTTCAGCGGTATAAAGTGAAAACTGATTGGATCATTTTATGTCACTGTTCACGCAAGGCATGACAATGTCGATACGTGCTCGTCAAATTTCTTTCCCCCACTTGTGCCATCCATTTTCATATGGTTCAAGAGGGAGAGAGTATTTATCCAATCTGCACATGATTCTGCAAGAATATGGGAGTATTAAACATGACAAATTGACAATTGACAAGGGATTAAACGCAGACGAGATTGAGCACCAACCGTGAAATTGTTAGGGAAAACAACCAGGGTGTAAATGGGTAGGAATATCGAAGGACGGTTTTCAGGTGAAGTTATAGTGACTGGCTCTGTAAACCAGGCCAGAGAAAATCTCCCAGAAAGGCTGATCTATGAGCCACGTTTTTTACCCTTCACAAGCTAGCGAATCGCAGTGTTTGGGTCACATCTCAGAGTAGGTGAAGGTTCTTTTGAGCAAAAATAAAAAAAAAAGTTTTGTTTTGAAAGGAAGACTGGAACATGAAGTAAACAAGGATTAGTTCTCGAAAAAAAAAAAGAAGTAAACAAGGATTGGCAGAACGGCAAGACTGTTCCTTTCCCACCAGTTATCGGATCACCAGTCAAGAAACTATAACAATTAACAAAGATAGTGAAAACTAATATGCAGGGTACGAGAAATAAATTAGGGTAAGAGTTTGTTTGGAAGAGCTTAAAATTCTGATAAACAAACAACTAGTCTGTAGTCAGCTTTTGAGAATTTGAAAAATTTGTGTTTCCCAGCTTTTAGCTTCTAATTCATTTTCTAAATTCTAAAACTACATCTTCTCAGAATCTAAACGAAAAACCTCATTGTTTGGCTTATGCTTATGCTTATAAAACTAAATTTTGAATTGGATTTTTTTGGTTTTTTCATCTCGTAATTTATTTTACAACATTTGATTTTGAGTTGCTAAGGACACATATAAAAGTTTTACTCATAAATGATTTTTATTTGCCAATAAGCGATTCAGATAAACATATGAATAAACAAAATAATAAAGCTAAAAAAGTTGAACTGTTTGGGGGAAGTTTCTGATTCAATAAGAAATTGCAACCGCAAGATCTCCAAACAGGCCATACATGCCAATTTACCCAATAAAATACCACGGGCGCCCAATAACAAACAATTTCTACTGGCTCATGTATATCAAAGGTTATGATGGAAATCACAACCCTTCAGGTCTCACAATCAATGAGAAATTCAACTGCAATGTTTTAGTGGGTTCATGAACAAACCACAGCGCAAGTGGAACCGGTTCATTTCACGATCTGTTCACCTTTTTATTCAGGCGCACAACTGCTGCACAAGCCCTCTAAACAATCATGAATAGGACCTCCACATATGTGCAGATACAAAAGATCTAATCATAAAAAAAATATCTAGTCATGAAAAAGAAACAAGCATTCCTACCCCTTGATGGTCCGAACCACTGGTGTCACTGAACTACAACATTTGGTCTCTGGTGCCAATGAGCGTTACTAAAACTCCAAGAAACAAGCTATTCTCACCTAAATCCTTGGAAACGAACAACAACGTTGATCTTTGTAAAGTTACTTAATAACTCAAGTTACATTTGTGTATAAGCTATTGTCTATCAAAATTAAACTGGCTTATTCCACCAAAAAAGCAATGCCAGCCTTTATCTCATGCAAAATCAAATCTTACCACCACAAATGTCAAATCTCCACTGACCACAACGCCAAATGACAGTTTGCTCATCTAGGCTCTTGTGTGCCGACAATTTACCTGCGCCTCCGAGATTTGCCTCTGGATTTTGCCTTCTTCTCAGGATTTTTGACCCGATAGCCCAGAGCAGCAGCATCAGGTTGCTCCAAACTAGATTGCGGACCTCCCGTAATTGCTACAGGTGACTCTGCTGTAGTTAATGCCTTGGATCCACCAAATAGATTGAACATTTGCTTCTTTGCAGATGCAGACTGAGCTTCCAAAGCAGGAAGATTACAAAATTTCCTCACAGCCGGTCGCCGGATAACTGAAAAAAAAATTCAAATACATACGACATGACTATAAAAAAGAGTACAAGGTCCAAGAGAAATCATATCTTGAGGCATGGGCCATACTCACCAAAACCATATGTCAGAGTGAACAAGTTTGATGTAATCCAGTAACAGAAAATTCCCTAGAGAAATAAAGAGAGATGTTTGAGACAACAATATGGTACAGTTGAAAACAAGAGTATCAAACTCATTTGGTTAGTTGAAATAAAAAGTGTTGCACTTGAAATATGTTTGCCAATCAATGGGCATTGTCTCTATAAATTTGATATGCATATTGATATTGTGATTATCAATGAGCTACTGGTAATACCTGAATATCCTTAACTACTACTGTTTTATCTGAGCAAAATATCATAGTATCCGCTAAAACCAAACTAATGCCCAACAGATACATGAGGTGATCTGCCTTACAGAGTCACAGACTTTGTCAGTCAAGTCAAGTGGGGCAATCTCTCTTATATGGTCGTTATTCATTAATTGCCTCAAACACAATCTGTTCTGTACTCATTAATTTTCTAAGTTACATTTTCAGGCTTTTCTCCTTAATCAAGGTTTCTGTATGAAACTTGTTTGTATTCACAGAAGTTCTATTCCATTAAGCCAGTGAGCTCATAAGACATAACAGAATTGCAAGAGATCTTGCTATATAATATGCATACCTTAATGCTGGTAAATTAAGAAATAACAACATATTCCACCAGAAGTATTTCTAATATTTACATACAACTCACTGCAGATCATTTTGCATCCATAAGCTCAGGTCTATGCAGAAAGACTAATAAGTCATCAGCACAGTGATATACCTTGGCAAAACTCATTGTGAATGGGACTGTCAAAACAGCCATTCCTCTAGAAAAGTTCTTCATTTTTCTAGCCATAGGATTTCCCTCCATTCCTTCTTGCAAGTTAAGCTGAGGTAGCACATGTTATTCATTACATTAAGCAAAATAACCAGCACAGTAAATGGTTTGACTTTCAAGGTGTTATGAAGGAGAGAAATGTCCATGAAAGCATAATTACTATATGCAAACTTACAAAGAATGTAACTGAAGAGGTAGGTTTACAGATGAATCCACAATTTACTGGAACAGACTTACGTGGACTGGATGATACAGCCAGGAAAAAAAATTCAAGCATAAAAACATGATGACCTCAAAAGTCAAAACTGCTTACGGCCTACAGGGGTAGATAAGAACTTCTATTGCACTACCAATATAAGCGTATCAACAAGCAGCAGTGCACCAGGTTACTTCCACAATGACAAACACAACAAATGCACCAGACAAAGTGTATACCTCAACTGTCACCAAGAAGATCAATGCCGTTAAAACTGGAAGGATGTAAAGAGGATCCGGTGTTGTTAGATCAGTAAACCAAAGTGATCCACCTCCTTTCATCGATGGTACTTTGTCAATCATGTTTCTTATCTATAAATGGAAGAAAATAAGGACACAAAGAAAAAAAAAACAACATAAACAATGAACAAGAGAAGAATTGAAGGGTCAGTAAGACCATGTGGCAACTTACAGCAAAGAAAAAACTCATAAATATTGGCCCTTGGATCAGGAGTCCCTTAAGTGGAGTAAATGGACTAACGCCATGCCTGTAGAAGGGCCAAAATAGGTTAGATTGTTTGAGCAACCGGAAAATAAAACAGCATTATTTCCATATACACCACATAACAGTGTACACCATAAGAAAACTATCTTGATACAATTTTGATTATGTGTTCAATAGCAAGTACACAGAAAGATAATTAAGAAAGATGGATATGTGCTCCACAACATTTTAGCATCCAGTAAATGTCACAAAAAGGATTCAAGACTCTTAATACATTAGGACCAGTATGTATCAGGAAGGAAATAATCTCAGCCTTGCATTCCCTCTAAAACATATATATGAGTAATCTAGTGAAGTCATATACTTTTGAAAGAGTGCAGTCATTTTAGCTTTCCCTTCCTTTGCTGATTTTGGATCCATCGCCTGCAAGGAATAGTTGTGAAGGTTAAACCATGCTCCATTAGGCGTAGCATGCATTTAAAAAATAATAATTAAATGAATCTTCTCCATGGTCAATTATCTTACAAATTATAATCTAGACAAGCTAAGAATGTAATCTCACATTCATTTCTTCTTTGATGGCTTCCATCTCTGGCCTTATTGCCTGCAAGATGTGCAAGTTTGAAAGAGTCCAATATTAATCTGAAAACTTCACATGAAGTAAAAGCACGCAGCAATTATCCAACTCAATTGCTCAAATAAAATAAAGTAGGACAAGCAACAATAAGTATAAGACACCATGTACTTGATATCATGCAATGTTTGCATTATGCATAACCTTGTTCGGTGATTGCAAACCTGGCTTTGGATCTAGAGAACTACTCACAAGATTAAGGAATTTTGGTTTTTCACTTGATCACTTGGTGCACTAAACTAAAGAATTAAACTACTTACCCCTTAACTAAATATATTACCGATTAAATCTCAATTGTTTTCCAAACCATTATTCAAATACATCAAATCCTTACTATATCAATATAAGTAACCTAACCTTGTTTAAAAAAATTATTATGATTTGAAACCTTAAAGATTGTCCAGGCATGCCACAAAAAGTATTTCAAATATATATATTGTAAAACTATGTTTTTAGTAATATTCTCTTTGCAATTTTTGTTCCCTCAATCCTCCATCTGAAAAGAACTAGTTTTGCATAAGTCTAATGCTTGCAGGTTTAAGGAGGTGGCAACTGTCCTATGCATCAATTTTGTGTTACTTTAGCATGCTTAATGAACCAACTTGTTTGGATGGAGGGAAACAGCACTATATCATTCAACTCCCCTGGACAGAGCCTATTACACTGGTTTCTAGAGCGCCAATCCAAATACTTAAGATGACTGGTCAAATTTACAGAGTTTTGACAAACAATGACATGAGATGAGAACTTATGCATAGCATGGAGTAACATATTACAGTATTGCGTTATCAGGTGATGACATGCACAACAAAATTATGCTTCCAACATTGAGTGCCATAAAAATATACTCCCTCCAGTCAACAATATTTGGCGTTGGGAATATTAAGTTTAGTACTCCCAGCATCAAATATATTGATTAGAGTAAGTATTTCATAAGATCCTTTCATCACATAGTTGAACATTGAGTGCCATGATAATGCATTTGGTAATGCTATGATCCAATAATCACATAGTTCAACAGGATGAACTGGACCGAGGGACGTATAATGCACAAGTGCTAAAAGGCAGACAATAAGGTGGTGTGAGCGCTCTCCTACTTCTTATGAATTATGATTGCTCTAAACATTATTAAGAGAACAATAACACTGATGAGCACTTAGAGCAGTAAAATATCATTGGCTCTATTTAACATTTCAAGCTAAATTGTTATGTCTGTATATGCAAAGCTCTTTTACTGCACACAGTAAAAACATCAAGCAAACACTATGGCTATAAACATGTAGCTGAATCACATTAAGAGCAACTTACATTTAGCTTCTGTGTAGCCTTCAACTGGTTCACCAATAGCGGCACGGTCGCGCTCCGGATCAGCACTGTCGCCAGCGCAATACAGGCCCACCTAACCGCATCCCACACGAGAGTAGAAGGAAGAGAGCAAGCAATCAATCATACGATCGAACGAGACAGATCCCAAATCGTAAAAGCAACCTCGCAAAAGCCTACCAGTTCAGACCGGTGAAGGTGTGGATGTAATCGATGACGTGCTGCAGCGCGGCGACGGGGAAGAACGAGTCAGCGGCCGCCGCCGCCACCTCCCCCGGGAACGGCGCCGGCACAGCCTCCGCCGCCGCCGCGGCGTCGGCGAGGACGCCCGCGGCAGCATCGACCTCGCCGGCGGCCGAGGAGAAGCCGCGGCGGCGTAGCCCCGCGAGGTGATGGAGGGAGAAGGGGAGGAGGTGGCGGTCTAGGGCTTGGCCCGCCCGCGGGTGGCGCGGAGACGGGGAGTGGGGGAATGGTGGGAGCTCGGGTGGCGGCGAGGGGTCGTCGTCGGAGTGGGAGGCGAGGAGGTGGGGCGCCGTCGCCGGGTGGAGGCGGCGGGTGAGGTGGTGGGAGAGGCGGGAGGCGAGGCTTCTCCGCGCCGCGAACGCCATGGCCGGGTCGGGAGGCGGCGCGCGGGGGGGAAGGGGGAGAGGAGGGGAAGCCGGCTGACACTGACTGACCACGACGACGGCGGCGCGGGAGTGTGCGGGCCGGAATGACACTTGGGCCTTGAACTGGTGCAAATTTTGGGCCTTAATCTTGTATGGGCCTTAACAATCCAGCTGCAGGGTCCGGATTCCGGAAGTAAACATAAACGAGCTCTCAAATTTGGGCAACCCGGAGGTGGAAAAAGTACACCGAAGGTCCCTCAACTTGTCATCGAGTTACAAAATCGTCCTCAAACCGCAAAACCAGATATCCCACGTCCCTTAACTACTCAAAACCAGTCACAATAGATCCCTCGGCGGTTTTGATCCCGGTTTTATCCTACGTAGCTGCTGAGTCAGCGTGGGACCCACGAGGTGTCGATGAGGCGTATGCTGTTGTACAAGTTGACGCAGCACAGGTAGCGGCCGTGTAGGGTGAGCACGACATCGTTCACCCATCGTTGAGCTACTTCTTGCTGCGGCCGATCTTGCGTGCCGAGGCATGGTGCATCTCAAGATGTTGGATCCTCCATTGCTCTGGCGACAGCGACGATGACGGCGAGTTGGCATGGTGGTTGAAGATGCAGAGCTCGAGGGAATCACAGTGGTAGTTCCTGATGTCCGCCACCACGAACTCGTCGCCGTCGTTGCTGGAGTAGGACAGGAAGCCGATGTTCTCGTCTAGCATGATCTGCCGCCGCTGGAGTTGGTACGGCTTGTAGTATTCGTCCTCGACTGGGTCGGAGAAGCCGTCGATGAAGCAAGGGGGAAGCCGCGTGAGCGACGGCGGAGAGGCGGCGGCGGCGTCGGTGGTGTAGACGAAGTAGTCGACGGGGAAGTGTCCGGGCGCGACGAAGTCCGGGTCGGCGAAGGGGACGCGGGTCCGGAAGAGGATAGAGCCGTGGTGGGCGGCGACGACCTCGGCGTGGCGGAGGTCGTAGGCGTTCGGCCATGTTGGTCGTCGGCGTCGAGGCGGTGGATGTAGAGGTGGGAGACGGCCGGCGGCCGGCGGGTCGGCGACACGGAGGGAGATACGGATGCGGCGGGCGCTGCAGGTGTGGGCAATCTCCGACGCCGTCACGTGGTCGCCGTCGCCGCCGCCTTGCTCTCCTGCTCCCGCGTCGTCGTCGTCGTCGTCGCCACAACATCGCCGGCCGCCGAACCTCCTCTCCCGCCTCGCCCCGTCGGTCTCCTCCCCACCCGTCGGCTGGCGGCGCGGTCCTGCCCAGAGCACCAGAGAGAAGAGTGAGAGAGAGATAAGAGGAAGGGAGAGAAGAGGGGAAAGAGAGAGAAGACTGACCTGGACGGCTGATATGTGGGGCCCACGTGGATCCCACGCTGACTCAGCAGCCACGTAGGACAAAACCGGGATCAAAACCACTGAGGGATTTATTGTGACCGGTTTTGAGTAGTTAAGGGATGTGGGATATCTGGTTTTGCGCTTTGAGGACAAATTTGTAACTCGATGACAAGTTGAGGGACCTTCGGTGTACTTTTTCCACCCAGAGGGACTGGCGGAATAAGTCCATTTTGCCTCCCTCATCTATTGCGCTTGCGTGAATAACATCCCTCAACCGGAAAACCAGGTATAATGCCTCCTCCTTCTCTGAAAACCAGAGCAAATCACCTCCCTCGGTGGTTTTGCTGGCGGTTTCGTCCGACGTGCCGTGTTGACCCGGTTGACAAGCTGACTCAGCGTGGTGGGACCCACATGTTAGTGTGTAGCTCTCTCTCCCCCTCATCTCTCTCCCCGGCCTTTTTCTCTCTCCCTCATCTCTTGCGCGTGGGAACGGCGGTGGGGAGTGGCGCAGGCGGTCGGTAGCGGCGGCGGTGGCGCCGGGGACGGCGGTCGGAAGCGGCGGTAGTGGCGGTTGGGACGGCGGTCGGGAGCGGCAGTGGTGGCAGTGGCAGTGGCGATGGCGGTCGGGAGTGGAGAAGGAGGCGGCGGCGGTGGTTGGGAGCGGCAGTTGGAACGGTAGTGACGGTGGGGACGGCCGAAGCAGCATACGGCGCCTGCGGTGGTCATGGAGTGGAGACGGGTAGCGGCGGCGGTGTGGAAGCAGCAACAGCAGCAGGCCACCCCGGCGAGCTCCCTCCACAGCGCTCGGCCGCCTTGCGAGCTTTCTCCCCAACACACGGCCAACCGGTGAGCTCCTCCCCCTCGTGCAGCCGGCCGACGAGCTCTTCTACCTGTGCGCGGACCGATCGGCGAGCTCCCTTCCCAGCGCGCGACCTCCCGACGACATCCTCTCCCCGTGGGCGGCGGCGGTGGCGGGGGAGGCATCGGCCGGCGACGGTGGTGGCGGATCGGAGGGGGAAACGCGGCGGTGGCAGCAGGCCGGCGAGATCCTCTCCCCGTGGGCGGCGGCGGTGGGGGAGGTGCTCGCCAGGCGCCGGGAGGTCTCCGCTCTCGACCGCCATCCCAACCACCACTGCCGCCGCCTCCTTCTCCGCTCCCGACCGCCATCCCCACCGCCACCACCGCCGCCTCCTTCTCCGGTCCCGACCACCGTCGCCACCGCCACCGCCGCCACTCCCGACCGCCGTCCCAACCGCCACTGCCGCCGCCTCCGCCGCCGCTTCCGACCGCCGTCCCCGCCGCCGCCGCTTCCGACCGCCTGTGCCGCTCCCCACCGCCGTTCCCACGCGCAAGAGATGAGGAGAGAGAGAAACGCTGGGTGAGAGAGATAAGGGGGATAGAGAGCTACACACTAACATGTGGGTCCCATCACGCTGAGTCAGCTTGTCAACCGGGTCAACACGCCACGTCGGACGAAACCGCTAGCAAAACCACCGAAGGAGGTGATTTGCTCTGGTTTTTAGAGAAGGAGGAGGCATTATACCCGGTTTTTCGGTTGAGGGATGTTATTCACGCAAGCGCAAGAGATGAGGGAGGCAAAATGGACTTATTCCGGGACTGGCCTAGCTCCACGAACTTCACAACATTAATGGGCTGGGCCCAACATAGGCATCCACCATGGGCCGTGGCCCGTGTGGGAGATGGACGGCGCCGGGGCGGCGGTGGAGAGAGATCGATCGAGAAGCTGAGGGGGTGTTTAGATGGGGCTAAAACTTTTTAGCACATGTCACATCGGAAGTTTGGACGCTAATTTGGAGTATTAAACATAGACTAATAAAAAACTAATTTCATAAATGAGAGCTAATCCGCGAGACGAATTTTTTAAGCCTAATTAATCCATAATTATCTAAAGTTTACTGTAGCATCACATTGTCAAAATCATAACGTAATTAGACTTAAAAGATTCGTCTCGCGAATTAGTCCAAGGATATGGAATGAGTTTTATAATTAGTGTATGTTTAATACTCCAAATTAGTGTCCAAACATCCGATGTGATAGGGACTTATAATAAGTCCTGGAAACCAAACAGGCCCTGAGTTTCGAGGGGACGCGGCGGGACGCCGCCCCGCACGAATCCCCATGATCTCATCAATGCCCTCGTTGAACTCCACCTCCAACCCCAAAAAACCCCACTAGAATAATCCTCCGACCCAATCTCCTCCCCTCGGCCCGTGGGAATCCTTGGCCTTCTTGCACGCGCCTCCCTCGGATCAGTCCCCCCTCCGCCGCGAGACCAGGATCGTGACGCGCGCGCCGGGGCACATGGTGGCGGCGGCGGCGGCGGTGTTGCCATGGGTGAGTTAGTACGAGTTCCCATCTCACCTTCTTCCCTTTAAACCCCATCCGCCTCTGCTTTTCTTGGTAGTGTAGCGTGGGTGTGGGTGTATGGTCTGACCGTCCATGGAGATTCTTGGATTCACTGTTATGGTTGTCGCCTTTGCTCTTCCTCCTTCTGTTGTTCTTTTTCGATCTAAGTAGGAGAGGAGGAGGAAGACGTGTGTTCTAATGGCGGGGGAATTTGTGAACTTTGGTGTTTAGGGTGGCGGCGGCTCGCCGGCGTGGATCGAGGTGCCGGAGAAGAGCAAGAGCGCGTTCTGGGAGCTGAAGAGGAGGAAGGTGCACCGCTACGTGATTTTCAAGATCGACGACAGGCGGGAGGAGATCGTCGTCGAGAAGACCGGCGCGCCGGGGGAGAGCTACGACGACTTCACGGCGTCGCTGCCCGCCGACGACTGCCGGTACGCCGTCTACGATCTGGATTTCGTCAGCGACGACAACTGCAGGAAGAGCAAGATATTCTTCATCTCATGGTCAGTCTTTCTTTTGCAACCTGTTTCTCCTCATTCTCAGCTTCAGTTTTGGGGCTTTAGGTTTGGGACTTGCTTGATGTCTCCTTTCATTTTCAGTTGGTGTGCCTATATAAGTTTCTTGTTAGGATAACAACAAAAGCGGTAACTCAGAGCTGGTTAAACAATTATACTCAGTACATTGTGGCCTATGCAATGAGCTGGTGGTTGTCTAATTGTTGTTTTACAGATTTCTTATTGATAGGATAAATAAATACATAAGAACAACATATCCTTTATTGTAAGGATAAATACAAAGCCACATCTTTACTCAGCAGTTTGACTAATGACATGTTATCCAGTAAGATGTGTGAACGATGAAGTGACTTCATAGCAACAGTTACTAGTACTGAAAACAAACTAAATGACAAAAAGAAGTGATCTTTCATCTGTCAAATGCATGCGGCTCATGGGTTTTTCATGGTACAGAACAACTTAGTTTTTGTTCCAAAGTTCTCCAGGTTTTATGTGACAAAAGGACTGCAACCAAGTTCTTAGAACACGGCCATATTACCGTTGCTCCTTTTCTTTTCAGGTCCCCTTCTGTTTCCCGCATCCGAGCCAAGACCATATACGCCGTGTCGAGGAACCAATTTCGGCACGAGCTTGACGGTGTGCACTTTGAGATTCAGGCCACGGACCCTGATGACATGGATTTGGAAGTTCTCAGGGGCCGTGCTAATAGAACCTGATAGAGATTGACTTCGATAGTTTGTTAATTAGCCTTCTTTTGCATAACTTTAATATGTAGCTCGCTGCTGAAAATGCATCTCGGGTGCATGATGTATAAGCAAGCTGCTGATCACACCCCAGCATTGCAGTTTTACCTTCTTTTTTTACAGAGATAACATCTTTCTGATATCTGTCTAATTATATATGTTCCCTCTAATATGATATGGAAATTGTGCCTTGTTATATCTAAATTTGTAATATACTGTATTTCTGCTGTTTGATATTGATCACCTTCTGGTTTGGTTTCAGTGTTTTCACCTCTGAATCCTCACTCGTGAGTTGTGGATCGTGATTTCTGATGTCTGTATACTCCCTCCGTTTTAAAATGTTTAAACATGTTTGACCGTTTGTCTTATTAAAAAAAATTTGTGAAATATGTAAAACTATATGTGTACATGAAAGTATATTTGACCATGAATCAAATGATATTTGAATAAGACGAATGGTTAAACACGTACTTAAAAAGTCGTCAAATATTTTAAAACGGAGGGAGTATTTTTTTTCTCTCTCAGGTAGTATTGCTACTTATCAAGTGTTGGATGCACCATGCGTAGTGTGAACCTGGAATTTTGTAATTTCATAATGTTGAAAAGAATAACGTGCAATGTGGCGTCCCCTGATCAACATGGAAGCATACTCTTCTTTCTCTGTTTTTTTTTTTAGCCGGCAACGTGGCGTCAGGCCGTCAGACTTGACAAACACATAGCCTGATTAGTTGTCTACTTTATCTTAAGCGACCTCTCCGGGTACTCACGTGTGGAATTGGACGAATGCTTTTGACTATTGTTTCTCTTCGTCTGAAATACGAACAATGTTTTCTTTTGGAACGTATATGCTCAAGTACTCAACAGTATACAGTACTCTGCTTCTCTCTCTCTTTCTCTCTCTAAATTATGCTCAAAATTCCCATAGGTATTTTAACATATGAATTCCAGTAAGCGTTGCACATATGTAGTTCCGAGGCTTCACGCTTTCATCGATATATAGTTCGATAGCCACAGCCCACGAAATTGACAAAAACACCAGACAGCTACTGTAGGTATACAAAATGTACGAGCAGACATGACCTGTTTGTAACTACTACTCCAGTGACGACACGAACCACCGACCACCGGTAGATGATCACTAAAAAGTTTGAAAGGCGGTCGCTGTCGAGCATGTGGTGGTGGTGGTCATCAACTCGTGCATTGCCACCCAGATCTCCAACCTCGGCTCTGATGAAACCCAACAGACGGACCACCCAGGCACGTACTCCGTACCGTTCATGGCCGGTGCGGTGCCGTGCCGTGGCCGCCGGCAAGGCCACCCATCACACCAGGGCCCCCATCATTTGGTACCAAATAAGCCAAAACACATATTTACAAACAAAAATTAATTTGTAAATGTTCTTAACGATCTAAAAGTAAACTTCAATAAAAAAAACCTAAAATAAACTTCAAATTTAAACTTGAAAATTTAAATTTTAGATGATAAGTACTCCCTCCGTCTAGGAACATAGCAACCTAGGACCGGATTAGACACATCCTAATATTAATACTGGATACTGAATATGTCGCATCCGATATTAGATTGCTATTTTGTGGGACGGAGGGAGTATAAGTATAAGAGAAAATGAGGCTGCAATTTTTTTTTACGGTGGTCGGCATGTTGCGACAAGCAGCAAAGCATCTCGAATCCATCGGCATCGGCGATGCCGATGTGCCAATGTGCTACCGCCCGAGGGGGTTCAAAAACCAGCCGAAACCCACGCGGCACGGCAGCCCATTAGCCCAAATATTCCGCCGATCGGCCCGCACCAAGTTTCCGGCAGCAGCAGAGGAGCGGCGCGCGCGCGTTGTCGTTCGTCGTCGTCTCGCTCGCCGACGCAACCAACGCAACGCAACCGCGACCGTTTCGAATTCGAGCGGTTTCACGCTCACGCGCGCCACGTTTGTCCCCACCCCACAGCCGCGGGGGTGATTAAAAACGGAAGCGAATGCCGCCTCGGCCTCCTCGTCCTCACAAACTTCTCGTTTTCCTCGTACTCTTCCTCTTTTCTGTCCCCTTACTCCGGCCGATTCACATGGCGCCCACCGCCGCGGTTGCCGGGGGTGGCGTGGAGGCGGAGGCGCTGCTGGGGCTGCTGCAGCGGGTGCAGTCGGAGGCGCTGCGGGCGTTCGGGCCGAACGACTTCGACCCCAAGCTCTACGTCGACCTGCCGCTCGCCGCCGACGCCAGCGCGGCGGCCGCGCTGGCGTCGCTGCCGCGGGCGGCGCCGTCGAGGGGCGAGATGGAGGCCTACATCTCGAGGTACTTCGCGCTGGCCGGGTCCGACCTCGTCGCCGCCGCCGACCCGCCGGACTTCGAGCGCGACCCCCCCGGGTTCCTGCCCAGGGTGGAGCGCGCCGAGGCGCGGGCCTGGGCGCTGGAGGTGCACGCGCTGTGGAAGGACCTGACGCGGCGGGTGGCGCCGGCCGTCGCGGCGCGCCCCGACCGGCACACGCTGCTGCCGCTCCCCGGCAGGGTGGTCGTGCCGGGCTCCAGGTTCCGGGAGGTCTACTACTGGGACTCCTACTGGGTCGTCAGGTCCGTACCGTACACCCTGCATCTCCGCATCCATCCATGATTCCGTCCCGCTTTGCTCCATTATTGGTCATCACGAATGCGCTAGATCATCACGTATGATTGATGAACATCTTTGCGTGGAGAGGAATAATTGATGAATCCAGGTTTCCACCAATAGTGCATAACATAGTACACAACACGTGTTCTTGCACTTGTTGTCTTGTTAGGTATGGCCATTTCGGGGGAACATGCAAGTGTCGAATCTCCAAAGGTTCACTTGTCTCTTTCTATGGCACGACCTGCTGGATACTGGGGGCGGCTGAATATTCTACAGGCAGTTGCGCTTTCCTGACCGGCCTGGTTGTGCCCATGGCCTATGGGGATATATTTTAGCTTTCCAGAATGAGGTTGTTGATTGACGCCGGCGTTGACAAAGCTCAGGGTGATCTGTCTTTAGATTTCTTAGGAAATTGCTGTGAGAGTTACCCCTCTATCAAAAAAAAAATCAGATTCATCCCTAGGATTTTTATTTTTTTTTGGATATGACGTAGTTCTTTAAAAAAAAAAGGTTGTTGTCAGTAGCATTTTCATGGAAATGGCAATGTAATAGTGGCTCTCAGAGTGTCAGTAAATACTGAAGATCTTGGTTTCTAATTCAGTGGCTTCCACAGAAAATGATGCAGGTCTTGACTTCATGCTTACATTTTTGCTAATACCGTAGTACCGTACAAGTGTACAGTACGCGCTGATCAAATATGCCTCCCAGATAAAAGTATTGATTTACAATGTTTTTTCTTGTTTGCTATGTCATTGGATGCAGAGGTTTACTGGTGAGCAAAATGTATGAGACGGCAAAGGATATCGTGCTTAATCTTGTGTATCTTGTTGAGAAATATGGTTTTGTTCTGAACGGGGCAAGATCGTACTACACTAACCGAAGGTGATAGCCTCTCTGCCATAGCATACTGTTTGGTAAATATGGTCTGTACTCTGTGCTTTCAACACAAAGTAGTTCATTTTTGTCATGTTGTCTATCTGCTGCTAAGGAAGTAAATACATTTTTTTTATGTGAAGTTTAATGGACCTTCATTAATTTTCCTTCACCGAGAATTACCTCCAGTCTTAATACTGCAAACTAAATATATATAACTTAGAATGCAATGTATTACTATATGGTCCTTATCTGAGACCTTGTCTTTGACTCTTTGTGCAGCCAGCCACCACTTTTAAGCTCCATGGTTTTAGACATATACATGGCAACTGGTGATATGGCTTTTGTGAGGAGGGTATTTCCCTCACTGCTGAAAGAGCATAGTTTCTGGATGTCAGGTAACAGATGACTGAAGCCACTTTACAGCATATTTACAATTTTGCATGATTGAACCAATCTCCCTATACAATGATCCTGTCATGTACTCATGCAGAGGTTCACAATGTGGCAGTAATGGACAATCATGGACGGGTACATAATTTGAGTCGCTACCAGGCTATGTGGAACAAACCTAGGCCAGAAAGTGCAACAATTGTAAAGTTTTGATGATGTTCACGATGTTAACTTGCTGGTGGCAATGGCAGCTTCTCAAGGATTAACTAACTATGGTCTGTTCTGAATTTAGGATGAGGAATTTGCTTCAAAACTTTCTACGGCTGCTAAAGAAAAATTCTACCACCAAGTTGCTTCTACAGCTGAAACAGGATGGGATTTTAGCTCTCGATGGATGAGGTTGGATGTAAAAAACTTGTTATTACCGATAGAAATGTATTTGTTTGACTGTTAATTAGTTAACGTGCACAGTACTAAAGAAGACATTATGAGCTCCAATGATATCAAATTCACTGTTGTGATGCCACATGCTGATTTCAGTTTTTCTTTAACTGCTTATCCAGGGATTCTACTGACATGACAACTCTGACAACATCTTGCATAATACCTGTGGACTTGAACACATTCATATTGAAGGTATGACATATAGCGTGTCACGATATTTGATTTCCAAACATGCATGACATACAGATTCAGCAAAGTATGGAGTTTGTCATGATATTCGAATTCTGAACACATAGTTTATAGATTCAGCATGATTTGTATGCATCAGGTTTAGAATGCTTTGTAGTTCGCTTATTCAATATTAATGTGCCCATAATAGCTAGAGATGCTTGTTGGGAAAAATATCCTTAATTGGTAAAGTCAACAATGCTCAGAAATTTGACATGGTCCTCACTTTGTACACAACTCAGATGGAACAGGACATAGCTTTCTTTGCTAAACTCATTGGAGAGAGCACAACATCAGAAATATTTTCAGAGGCTTCAAAAGCACGCCATAATGCAATTGATTCTGTTCTGTGGAACGCTGACATGGAGCAATGGCTTGACTACTGGCTTCCTACTGATGGAAACTGCCAGGTTTTCCCAATTGATATCTGTTGATCTCCTATATTCTTTTCCATTTGTGCAAGCAACCTTGATTTTATTAACTTGATGACACTACTATTTTACAGGGAGTCTACCAATGGAAATCTATCTCACAGAACCGCGCCATCTTTGCTTCTAATTTTGTACCTTTGTGGTTAAATGCTCAACATTCAGGTTTGTCCTGTAGACCCCCCATCCTTGTGCTTATCTTCTAATGCCAGGGTGTAATGCTTTATTCTGGGAATATCTAAAACTACACGGTAGTATCTGTCTACATATTTTTCATGAGTTGGCTGCCTTGTCCTGAATTTCCTTTTATGAGGTCTAGTACGAGTATCCCATGAAATTTTAACCACCAAATGGCTAGAAACTGAACAGTTAATGCAGACAAATCTTATAGAAAGTATCTAACACGTTTGTCTCTGTATCATGCTCATACTTCATGATGTGCGTCGGTCTGTCATTTATCTTACAACTTGCTTTCTTCATTACATGTTTATAACTGCTGGAGCTGTTCTTAGTAGTTAGTATTATAACTCTAGTGATCACATCACAGCTCTTACTCTTTTTTAAAAAAATAAAAAAAAATCTTTCACCCTTTTCTTGCATAGTTACTGAATAATATTGTCTGAAACATAATTAGGCTTGGAGCAATTTGTCGATGAGGCAAAATCAGTGAGAGTCATGAGAAGCCTCCAGAAATCAGGATTACTGCAACCTGCAGGAATCGCAACTTCCTTATCAAACACAGGGCAACAATGGTCAGTTCACTGGAAGAGCATTCTCTCCCTGAAACCATGTGGTTTCCTTCGCTTAAACAGGTTTCCTCTATTTTTGAACAGGGATTTTCCAAACGGATGGGCCCCGTTGCAGCATCTGATAGTCGAGGGATTGTTGAGGTCTGGTTCAGGAGAGGCAAGGGAACTTGCTGAGGACATTGCCACGAGGTGGGTGAGAACAAACTATGATGCCTATAAGGCTACCGGCGCGATGCATGAGAAGTACGATGTGGTGACCTGTGGAAAATCTGGAGGTGGGGGTGAATACAAACCCCAGGTATGGTTGTTTTCTTCTAAATTCAAGTAAAAATCCTTCCTGTGTTGTGCTCACGCATCAATAGAACATCTCTGTACAGTTCTGTACTCATGTTGTGACTCACAACATGAGTACAGAATTACTCATGTTGTGACTCCCTTTTCCTCTCATACAATGATTACGACACCAATAAAAGCAGAAACCGTGATCTCTTACCCTGCCTTTTCTTCTAATTTGAGCTGTTGAACATCTCTATTCGCAGACTGGTTTTGGTTGGTCCAACGGTGTGATATTATCATTCTTGGATGAATTTGGATGGCCTCAGGACAAGAAGATAGACTGCTAGTCATCATGATGAATGTTAAACCCCATCTTCGCAGATGCAGAATGTGGCTAGGCTAGGCAGGTGTTTTTGTGTGCAACTGTATATACACGGCTGTGCATTACACGCAAAGTTGAAGAGGCATTCTGCAATTCTGCTGTAGTTTTTATCTGACAAACATTTGCATTCAGATTTCAGAGCATCACCCGCAACTGTGTTTTTTTTTCTTTTTTTGTAACTTGCCCTTTGCTGTAACTCGTATCAAAGCTCAAAGCAAGAAGAATCTTCATGTATCTGATATGTTGTACATTTGTATCTGAATTCTGAAACTATCAAACAACATATCTAGTTGATTTATTACTCGCTCTTCCAGTCGCCTCTGCCTCGGCAAAACCATGGCCCGGGGAGTAGGGCGCTGCCGGCGAAGGTCACTACCGCAAACAAGTAGGCCGCAGCGCGTCGCTTTGATGGACGCCGCCGCCGGTCGCGATCCGGCGGACGCGGTAGAATCTCTCAGCGAGCTCGCACTCGTGCCTCGCAGGAGCAGAGGGGAGGAGCCAGAGCCGGCCAGCGAGGAAGGAGGCGCATGGCCCTGGTCATGGGCTCATGGCGGCGCGCCGGCGGCGAGGCGGGATGTCCGAGCAAAGGGGATTGTTTTGCAAAGTGCCGTTGCCAATTCACCTTGGATGGATCAGATCCGCCTATATTTGAATGCAAATGCTAACCTATGCTCATGGAAAATTAAAGGTGAAAATTTTATACTCCCTCCGTTTCAAAATGTTTGACGCCGTTGACTTTTTAGCACATGTTTGACCGTTCGTCTTATTCAAAAAATTTAAGTAATTATTAATTCTTTCCATATCATTTGATTCATTGTTAAATATATTTTTATGTAGACATATAATTTTACATGTTTCACAAAAGTTTTTGAATAAGACGAACGGTCAAACATGTGCTAAAAAGTCAACGGTGTCAAACATTTCGAAGCGGAGGGAGTAGATTACTGACCTTCAGATCTGCTTCACGATTCATGCTCTATTAAGTTTTTCCTTCAACTCTTGATGATCTTGACAAACTCCAACGAGCGACGGTGGTGACTCCGACCGGTTAGATCTTGGGGATAGGGTTAGAGAAAGGAGGGTTCCTCGGCTTAGAGGGAGGCGGGGGAGGCCTTGTGGGCGCTGGTGCTAGGAGGACGAAGAGGGTGCCAGTGGAGCCGCAGGGATGGAGGACGGTGGTAGGCAGTGGTAGCAGCGAAAGAAACTCAACCATTGGTTAGATGGTGACGAGCGGTGGTGGTGGATTCAGCGGCGAGAGCCACCAAAGACGGAGAAGGATGGGATGGGGGTGCTCGCTGTAGCTCAGCGAGAAACCATGGTGGGTGATGGTTGGTGGAGGGCTCATTGGCAGGTGTGATTGGAGGCAACGCGCTTGAAGTAGAAGGCGTGGGGTGGCGGCGGCGATAGTAGGGAGTAATTGAAGTAGAAGGCGTGGGGGTGGCGGCGGCGATAGTAGGGAGTAAGATGGGGGAGGGGTAGGGTTTGGTATATAAATGAATGTGTTGGTTGATCTGAACGGTTAGATTTTGATCAGATGGATGTGAAAATTGATTGGGATGAAGGGTCTTCTTGCCAAAATTACATAAGCAGTCCTATATTTGAATAGATGGTTGACAATTTGAGATATTCTTGAAATCAAGTCGCTTGCATTCTTAGTGATACTGTTTAGAATATTTTTTAACATGGACTTGAGCACTAAAAGTTGTATGTGGATTTAGAATAGGATATTCAATAACATAAGTCGCTAACAATGGTAATGACCCAATTTAGAATATTTACCATAACATAACTCAAATACTAGTAGTATTTAGATAAAGGGAAACACTCATCAAACCAATCTAAGTCACGCTATTTAGATTGGATGGTTAAAACTTGATCACACTAGAATCAGTACCAATGATGAAAACCTAATTTGAAATATTTTTGTGCATGAACTAAAGTGGTAGGTCTATATAGAAAAGGTGCTATGATCAATCTATTTAGCGATCATATGCGATCAACTTGATTTATATCGACGCCTACAAAAATCACACACTATGGTTTCTTGTGTAAAACTGGCCGTGACACTTTTCAACCTCTTGATCTGAACCGTCCAATGACGTCCAACGGTAAATCGGAGTATGGAACCAGTTCATTTCCCACTCCTAACCAAGATGATACTCGCACAAGGGTGAGAAAAGGGGGTTAGCTCTAAAGAACGCCACCCGCCACGAGAGGGGAGACATGGCGGCGGCGCTCCTACGGAGACGGCACCGAGGGGAGATGGATTCTGATAGCTCGAGTGGACGTCCACCCGTTTATTGCATGTCAACTAAATGGTTGCGCAAAATTTCCAAAAAAATTGACAAGATATATAAATATATAATATATTACTCCACAACCATGCAAGTTTAAATTCAACTTATACAAGTTGTAAAAAAAATAACAAATTTAACTGTAAATATACATATATTAATTTGAGTCTTGTTTGTTATTTTTGTTACAATTTATAGAAGTTGAATTTTAACTTGCATGTTTGTGGAGTGATATATTACATATTGGTCTATCTTGTTCTTTTTTTTCATATTTTTTTACAACCATTTATATGACATGCAATAAAACAGTTTCCCGACACCGAGGTTGCTGACACCAAAGACCATCCGCGCGGCGGCCAAAGCAAGCAGTCCCAAGGCATCCAGCTCGTGCCCCTCTCCCTCCGCCACGCCATCAAGCGGTACCTTCGAGGTAACACCCTCCGCTACCCCCCTCCCGCTCTCCCACACATCACCCGCTCGATGAATTGCTTGGCCTCACTGACGACACTTTGCACGACTGACTATGTAGACCAGGACAAGGCACAGATGAACCTGAAGGTGTTGCTGCTCTCGGCCTCCTTCGAGCGCACCAAGGGAACCTGCACCGAGCTAGCCGCGACTGCCACGGGCGGCGTGCTCATCGATGACCTGCGTGCGCCCTCGGGCTCTGAGCAGCAAGCCGCGCGGTGGAAGGTGCGGTATGCCTATGGAGATATTGGCCTTCAGTATCGCGAGTATGAGACGGTCACGTACGTTGCCTCCCGGATGCTGGCCATCTATGCCGCGTGCCACCGTGTGCTCCATGAGGTCCAAGAACAACTCTCTTTATTGTTGTTGTCCTCAGCGAGATGAATTTGTTTATTGGAGTGCTTTTCTCGACTGAAGCTTCGATTTTATAGGTTCGTCGGAGGTTATCAGATGTTGCGCTTGCCAAAGTGTTGGATTTTTCCACTCCTCTCGAGGGTTTTTTCCACGCCTTCGGACTAGATGATCTTTTCCCAGGTCTGGACAATAGGGGAACCCCGTGGTGAGCCGGGTTAAAATAAGCGACAGGGCTTAACCGAATACAACTTTTCCTATGGGCCGGGATTGTTTCCTCGCCGGGTTGATCCACGGGGGTTGGGCCATGACCCCGGCCGATTCCAGCCAAACCGAATATGGCCTAACCAAAATCCATAAATTATAAATGTGAAAATCTCAAATGTGTTATTACAAGTAAATATGATCACTTCCTTAAATAAATAAATAACTTGTATCCCTTGAATAAATAAATAAATAAGATTTATTGTTGTACTATATAAAATCTAGAGCGAATCGACAATCTTGTTTAGTTCCTTTTTCATATCTTCAACCATGTTGTTATCAGACAACAACAACTATCTCAATAATTGTCGCTTGAAAACATTGATGTTGTGCTGGACAAACAAGGAAAAATGTTTATTACTCACAAAGTAGGCACATATTTAAAGTTGTTAGCAAATAATGTAAATATCAAACCTGAGTGATTTTTTTGCAAGTCCTGACCCATTAAACCGCTCGATGTACTTTAGTACATATAGGTCGCATGAACATCTATCAAAATGAAATAAATAAGTGGTCCGTTATAGAGCAAGTAATAATTTGATGCATTTTGCTATTAATTAGTTATATACGATGGGTTTCTGACGCAAATGAATCCCCAGTGTTAAGGTGAGACCACACCCTGTTGAGGCACAGTAGCATATTGACGGCCGTCTAAGAGATCCAATACATGCTTCGCATGAATGTTTAGTTCAGGTTCTGTCACCTCTGAATCTAGTGTTGAGCTGAAAAAAATCTTTGAGCAGATAAAAGATGCACAATTCTCCCCTACAATATTCTTAAGATCCTCTTGCATACATGAAACGAAGGTAGCATCACCCTTTTCACTTGCACTTCTAGAGAACAGAAGCAAAAATTCTGCACATTTTAGCCTGAAAAAAGGGGGGGGGGGAAAGAATGTGAGGCGAGAATTGTATTGCAAATTTATGTAAAAAGTATCATATGGTATTATAATGCAATGTGTATTGTATGGACAGACCTTACATTGTCATCTCTTTGTGTGTCCTTAACAAGATCACCAATTTTATCTAGTCCTTCATGTTCCTTGAAATCCTATAAAAAGAAAATGACGAGAGGTGAAAAAAGAGATAGGAAGAAGAGATGCAGCACACAGAGCTGCCCAAAGGGTACCATCAAATTTTCTGAAGAATCCACCATCAACGCCAAAAGGGTGTCCAGACAAGCTTTTTGTTCAAGCGTGCCCCGAGTCATCAGAATGTTCAGAAGTACCTGAGGAAGTTATAGGATAAGTATGAGATGATCACGGCAAGAACAATTTTTCGTAGCTGATAGAAAGAATGAGCAACAAAACAAGCAACCATAGTACAAGTGACCCAACCAGCTATGCTTTCACACAAAAGTGGAAATGGAAATGCATACCTCGAAAAAATTCTTTCAAATAAAGCCCGGCGAAATGCATATCTAAAACCTTATATCAATCTCTCTGAATCAAAAGAAAATATCTCCTGTACCCTTTTTGAAAAAGAAAAGGGTAGGAAATGCACGGAAATTGTTGTTAAGAAAATTGGATAAAAAATCACAGTATTTTTCTAATCGATTGATCCTGATGGAACATCAACAGCAATGAAAGTGCAACAGTGCACTTTGGCGCAATAATACGCAACAAATGATAAGCCTAAGGTCAATTGGTCACTACCTAAAACGTCGTCGTATATGAATGATCTGCCTTTTCTGTTTTTCAACAAATGACAGGACTGTACTCTCCTTATGGCACATAGACGCAACAACGGACATACTCTCCTTATGGTACAATAGTGCATTCATGTGCCTGAACAACTCTGATGCTGATATAGGAGCTGTTGATCGTTGTGACTGTACTTCCCAAGGAGCTGGACATTTTTTTCACTTCAAATAAGGACCCGATTCCCCAAGAAACAGTTTTGACTGAATGCAGTAAGACCACTCGTTATACTGTAAACATCTAAAATTAACCTGCAGAATTACATGCCAAAACCAGAGTTTCATGTATGCCCTTCCTTCGCTTCTTTATTTTATTTTCATTGTTTCGCAGCACACTTTTCATAACTATCTATCTATCGGTCCAGTACTCCTTGCTTAGTTTAGTGACATATCCTGTACGTTTTACCTTAGATATGTTTAAAAAGAAGCTGCAGGACTGATGCATAAATTAGAAACGTGCTCAGAAATCAAAGGCAGATACCGTAACCTGAAGTTTCACACCAGTTCAGTAGCTCTTAGAGTAGGAAACCATGGCTTTGTGTTCAAGAAAAAACCCAAACCATGTTCAGTGTAACATACACTGATATACCAGTCATTGCAACTTCACAAAATTACAAGTGGCATGAAGCCATGAACTACCCAACAAAGCTGGACTGATGCAAAGTTGATATGCTGTTCTGAATCTCTGATATCTCCTCCCTTCTACAAGTTAATCCTAAGTTCCTACCAGAAGTGAATTTGATCAGAACGCCTCATGCTAGGAGCCCCAGGACCACGAAATCCCTGTGCCTCAACACGCAAAGACCGTACTACTGTACTACCATTCGGCCAAATGGACCAAATCCTGAAGAAAAGCAAGCATCCAGAAAAATGAATCAGATGTTCTTTTGGCCCACCTCTCCGAGGACTCTCTCCAACTTCGCAAGCGAAGGGTCGTACTTGCACAGTTCTACCGTACTGATCGCTCACACACCATCAGAGTTAAGACGACTAACCCTACGTGACAGCAATTCCCCAACTAATGATAAATTGATAATTGCACGTATGCATTATCAGCAGCAGAAATTAATTCTAATTTGTGCGTGATGATTTTTATTTTTATTTTAATTTTTATCTGATGGAAGCAAATGAGTGGAGGAGAGAGTGCACCTTGACGGCGTCGTAGCGATGCGCGGCGGCGGCGCAGTCCCGGCAGAGGAGGCAGCAACCCTCGAGCACCCGGAGCGCGAGCGCCACCTCGGAGTCGGTGGCGGGGTTGCTGAGCTTGACGGCGGGCGAGATGCCGAGCACCTGCCCCACCGTCACCACCGCGTCGCCCTGCGCCCTCCGGAGGCTGTGCTCGAACAGCACCGGCACCACTGCACCCATGCATTGATCGATCGATCGATTCCATGACGTCGGCCGGTCAGATCACCGCGGCGAGGCGGAGGAGGAGGAGGAGGAGATGTGTCGCTCACCTTGGAGGTCGCGGAGGGCCTGGGAGTGGCGGAAGAGGCGGGCGTCGGCGTCGGCGGCGGCGGCGGAGCGGAGGGCGCGGAGGAGCGCGCGGAGGCCGCGGAGGCGGAGGAAGGAGAACCCCGCGGACGCGTCGCGGAGGCCGCACCGCAGCGACTGCGCCAGGTCGCGGTACATGCGCCGCCGCTCCGACGCCGTCGGCCGCCTCCCTCCCGCCGCCGCCGCCGCCTCATCCCCCGCCGCCGCTCCCGGCATCGCGGTGGTGGCTGACACCGTGCGCGAACGCGCACAGGCACAGTGATGGCGAGCGCGATGTGAGGCGAGGCGGCGTGTCGTTTGTTAATTTCGCGGAATGAGACGCGGGAGAGATCGCGTTGTCGCTTTTGATCGGCCGGGTGGGCCCGGGTGACCGGTCAAGGACTTGTGTTTCTCGCGGGTTTGGATTTAACAAACGGGTCTCAGCCCAGTAGCCTTGGCGGGCCGGATAACGCGAGCAGGAATCTTGGCATCGATCGGACGACCACAAATTCGGCTGTAAAAACAAAGAATTTCAGCAGGCTGTTCTATAGCAAATCCCTTAAGAAATATAAGAATAATAAATTGTATTACTTTCTCATTCTTTTATTTTAGATGGAAGGAGAGTTTCTTCCATTTAAAATAAAAGACTTTTGCTGATTTTATTTATTGCTATATCCAATTTATAGAATTGATATCCCGTTTAATTGATATCATTTAGCAAAATGAAACATAGTATATTGCATCTATCTCTTAGCTCGAGAATTTCACGGTGTAGAGTTATGGTATAAGAAATAGGCTATTAAGTAACTCTAAATGAATTATGGATACATATGTATCCTTAACATACTGAAATAACTGTCATTTTGTATCAATTCCAAAACAAGTTAATCTAATATGCGATATGATATATCATAGTACTACAAAATTTGGATAAACACTATGTAGATTTGTATTACTAAAATATGCCACATCCAGTATTATGTTAACTTATTTTGAGATGAAAGAAGTAACACTCTGAAATGTATCTAATGAAATCTTAAATTATTATATTTTGAGACATACTATGTAATATAGAGACCGAATATCAAGAATCAAGAATTCGATTAGGCATGTCAGCGATGTACAAGTACAGCATTTTGAAGAAGTTCTCTTATACGTGAAGTTTCTCTCTTTGGGAGCACTAACTAATAGACATTGACAGCGAGTCTAGAATTATTTTTCAGCTACTAATTTCTAATGTATCACTTCACACAATCAAAGATTGACAGTTGACACCTCTACAGTGATAATCTTTGCGGGGGTTGTCACTTGTCACTGAATTTTCTTGGTACAAAATATGGACTTTGGCATCTTCGGTTCAGAGATTAAGAAGATCATTTTCAAAAAGGCTAAAATTTTGCTATGTCTTTGGACCAAAGCACGAGCTATAACATAATATGGCCTTTTAGACTCTAGAAATTGTGGTACACATCATTACTTTGGTCCTATGTTTGTTCCACGGGCTGTGCTTTGAAAGCCCTGCGCCGGACTATCTTCGGTTGCATCTTGCGTTTAATTAAAACGTGAGAAAAATTTACAACATATCTGAAATATAGGGAATTGAATAATCTCTTGTGAATTTCTGCATTTCAAAGTTCAACCGGAAATTTAGTGGAGTACTACTCCGTTTTATATCTGATTTTTTTCCCCGTAAAACTCCTGTTCCAAATGGAGGCTGAGTTTTTTTAGAGGGAACTGGAAGCTGACCCGCTGACCTGGCTCTGGACTTCTTGGTTGGTCCAACTGAGGAGCCATATCGTAGGCCCAATCCAAACTACTATTGGCCCATTTAGGCCTAATTACTGCTTGGAAAAAGTCCACTTTGACTCTCTTAATTGTTCACCGAATCTAATTCGGACCCTTAACTAGAAAACCAGGTAGGACGACTCCCCCAATTACTAAAACCGGTACAAATCGACTCCTCTAGCGGTTTTGGAGGGCGGTTTTGCTGACGTGGCGCTTACGTGGCGGCGCTGACCTGGTCTTCGTCCCACGTAGCGCTTATATGGCATTAGAATTAAAAAAAATCTATGGGACCCATCTGTCATTCACACATAAAATATATTGTGAGACCCACTAACATATGGGGCCCACATGTCATCTTTCTCCTTCCCTTCTTCCTCCTCCCTCTCTCTCCCTTCTTCCTCTTTTCTCTTCCCCTTCGACGCACCCCGGGAGCGGGAGCCGAATCAGCGGCGACGGCAGGCGAGGGCCGGAGTGGCGACGACGGCGACACAAATGCAGATCGGCCTCTCCGCCAGCCGACACCGCGCGCAGCTGCTCATCTTCGTGTAGGGGAGAGGGGAGAGGAGGTGGCGGAGGACATGGCGACGGGATAGAGGATACCGTCAGCGGCGGTAACATGAGAGCGGTTGGTGAAGTGGAGAGGCAGCGCGGCGGGGCGAGGAAGCTGCGGCGGTGAGGAAGGCACAAGGAGCGGCTGGGGGGAGGTGGCGGCGGCCGGCGCGGACGGGGAGAGAGAGAGAGGGGGTGGATGGGGCTGAGGTCGCCGGCGAGGTGGCGCGGACATCCTGAAGTGGAGAGGCTGGGTCCTTCCTCTCGAGCGACGGTGGAGAGAGAGAGAGAGAGAGAGGGGGGGCCGCCGCCGTCGTCGCCACCACCACCACCGCCGTTGCCACTAATCCGCCTGGCCTTCGCGCTAGCCTTCTCCACCGTCGCCGCCATCACCGGATCGTGACGACGGTGCCGCGCCCCTCCACCACTGTTCCGGCCCCTCACACCACCACCTCCGCTCCAGCGCGCACACTCCCGCCCGTCGCCGCCGTCGCCAAGCCCGACCCCTCTCTTCCTCTCGCATGCAACGCCGGCCCCCAGGAGGGAGAGGGAGAGGGGGCCGCCACCGTCGCCGCCACCACTCCACCCGGCCTTCGCGCCGGTCTTCTCCACCGCCGCCGCCATCACTGGATCTGGATGAGAAGAGGAGGAGGGACGGCCGCAGTCCACTGCTACCGACGCGCACGCGCCCCCCGGTGCCGCCCAAGCCGTCGCCCCATCGGTCAATGAAAAAAAGAGCCCACATGCCAGTCCTGATCTGACTGAGCTCACGATGGCCCACTGTCAGCTATCTATTTCTCACCATCCTCAGTTGAGTTAGCAGTGTTGACCACGGTCAAGGTGCCACGTCATCGGATACCGCCCACAATACTGCCTTCGGAGTCGATTTGTACCGGTTTTACTAAATGGGGGAGTCGTCTTACCCGGTTTTCTAGTTAAGGGTCACGAATTAGATTCGGTGAACAATTAAGGGAGTCTAAGTGGACTTTTTCCTTACTGCTTAATTATACTCACGGCCCATTTCCAAAAAGTTGCGCTCTTTTGGGCCAGAGGCCTATTCCCACTTGACTTCCGCTCCTCTTCCTCCAGCTTCGAGAGAAATCTCCGAACCCGCCGCGGCGCACACCGGAATCCACCGCCGACGCTCCGGCGCCACCGAGGGAGGGGGTGAGGAACGCGGGGGAGAAGCGTCGTAGGCGAGGTGCCGGCGATGGAGAGGGAAGTCGTGGTCTCCGAGGACGCGGCCGCCTCCTCCTCCTCCTCCTCCTCCTCCGCCGCCGCCGCCTCGTTCTCCCTCGCGGAAACCAGGGTCATCTGCCGCGTGTAAGCCTCGGCGTTCCTCCTCCCCGGTCTCGCGCTACGTGCCTAATCGTGATCGTGTGAGCTTACGGTTGTTGCAGGTGCCAGAAGCAGTTCGCGCAGTACACTTGCCCCCGTTGTAACGCCCGGTACTGCTCGCTCCCGTGCTACAAGGTGCGTGCGATTTCCCTCTCGCTTCTGCTGCTCCCGTACTGCGGGCTTCGTGCTCTTCGAGGCTCGCTGCTTGTAGAACACCTCCAGGGAGGGTTCATGCTCGTGTTGGTTTGGTGTCGTGGGTGTCTCAGTGAGTTAGTGCTGACGCACACAAGGTGTTTGTAGAATTGCAGCAATGAGTTCGTATACTTTTTGGAAGAGTAATTTTGGTTTATATGCTAAAAGCGTATATCTGAGTCTGGTACAAATGGAAATGGTTAAGTTACTTGCAGTCACACTGATATGGTGCATTTCCGTTGCTAATTAGGCTGCAGAAATTCCCTCCTTGTGCTGTCCAATGTAGTTTCATGAAAAGGGTTGCATTACTAGCTGGATGGCTAATGTGCTGAACTTAAGAAATTTCAACTATCATATGGAACAGAAAAGATGAATTGAAAGCGCATTTGTCCTTTCCAACGGCATAGGTTATTCTAGTTCCTCACTATGGGTCTGTTAACATTTCAAATGGCCACATGGTGTAAACTTTCTGAGGAGGTTGGAATTTTTCTCACATTCATTTAGATACCACCAATATACCATACAACAGCATTAATGCTACCCTGAGTGGATTGTACCAGTGTGACTGAGACTGTCAAATGATTGTTGAAAGAGAATACATGTTTATCTACAAAACAACAACATCGATTTAAGGGGTCTGCTTATATGGGTGCAATATATCTAACTCGAGGAATTTACCATCTACATAATTGACTAGTGAATTTATGCATATTGATCTCAAGGAATAATGATGTTTACATTATTGCACCTTTTACTTTTGTAACCTCTTATATCTTATATAATTCTTGTTCTGTAGGGGCATAGTGTTCAGTGCACTGAATCCTTCATGCGTGAGAATGTTATGGATGAGCTTAAGCAGATGCAACCTGAAGATGAATCAAAGAAGAAGATGTTAGACATACTTAAAAGGTTCCACTTGGAAGAAGAAGATATGGATTCAGAAGGCGAAGATGGTATGGTTGATATGCATTCTTTTACATTATGTCTGATAGTCTATAAACCATTAGCTATCCTTTTCTGTAAATATAAATGATCGGGATTTGTTATTGGTGATGAGGATGTTGCAAGTGCTCAGATTTTCCACCTTAGGATTGCATCTGCCTCACTCTTATTGAAACCATTATTTTTATAAAGCGTGAATTATTGCTTGTGTTTCTACTTATTTATATTGCGCTTACGTGAAGTATTACTATTTAAGATTTTATGGTCAAATTGAATTTTTAATCATTCTCTCCTAGTTTGTTTGCTCTGAAAACATATTATTATTAATTTTTCTATTTGCATGCTATTTCACTCTCAAAGCTGGTAGTGGTAGAAAAATCATCTACTAGTTTGTCAGCATTAATATTTGTACTCTTACTGCTGAACTTGGTAGTACAGGAATGGATGTTTGTATCATGGAAAACAATAGAAGATGTGACGACTGTAATACATCTAAACTTATAATTTCATTAGTTTAAGGCCTGACTGGTTTCTGTTTACCTATTTGTCATCTAAATGGTTTCGAGTACTCTTCTAGAAGATCATACTTTCTCTAACACAGATAATATGTGATAATATATTGTCTGGTCAGTGCTTATTACTAGTTGTGAAAGTTACCATTTCTGTTCAGTTTCATAAGGAGATTATTCTGTTATGTCATCTCTGTTTTATACATAAAATGTTATGGTCGGGCTGACCTACCAGAGACACGGAAGGCTGTGACTCCTGCCAGTTAATTGTACTCTATATCACTAAAATATTATGAACAAAAGCCTAGTACTGAATTACAATTACCTCCTACTATTAGGAAGGATGATCCCCTTGCTAACTATGTGATTATGTGGATTGTATAAATTTTTGCAATAGCTCTTTCAATAATCAAATCTTTGTTTGGCGCATCTAGCAGATTTTGGGCTTGTCTAGTTTTGGTTATGATTTAATGAGTTATGAGGGCCTACCTGTTGTGAATTGGTTGAGGTGATTATGATTGTTGAGTGGTGCATATGCTATATTTTGATATGTGAGGATCTTTTCTTTTGACATGTCATACATGTTTTGTCCTGCAGAGTCAATTCTGTCAGAGGAGCTTATTCAAAAAGTTATGTCTGGTATGTGTGTACTTCTCATGCCTTCCTAATGTGAATAAACCATAGCATTTCACAGTGCTCTTATTTTTATTTATGAAAACCTAGGTATTCTTTAAACAATTGCACTAACCAATCATTTCTTAACACCTTTGTTAACTAAATTTTTTTTGCAACTAGTATAAGAAAAAACAAATAACTGATTTAAGATAGACAAATGCTTGTGAAGGGAATTCAGAGTTAGACTTACCAATGTAAATTTTCATGTGAGAATTACGTTCAGTATTCCTTTCCATTAAAAGGTTGTGGATCAAACAAATTGCATCTGTAGTATAAGGATAACTTAGCCTGCCAAATGCTGGCAAGCTGTCCTTTTTTGTCATTTTTACATTTACCTCTGATTATTGTATTTTCATGTTGAGTAATTGCTTCATTTCTTGAAATACAGTATTCAAGTTCTGTTCATGTGGCTCATTTTTTCAATTTTCATGCTGGATGATAATTTGGCCTTGTCATTTTTGGGATGGAACTTTTCTAAACAAGCAAATATTGTTATGTACTTCAAGTTTTCTGCTGAGCTCTCATTAGATTAATATTTGTTTGTTCTTCAAACAGGAGATGAGATCAAGCTTGAAGACCTCTCTGATGATGAAATCAAACGATTTCGTCAAGCTCTGGCTTCAGGTGAACTCAGCAAGATGATCGAGCCATGGACACCATGGTGGAAAAAACCTTCCGCTAGATCGATTTCCCTCAGTCCAGATGGAAGCCAGCTTATCAGACAAGTGAGTGTAGAAGACACTGATACGTCAGATCCAATGGCTGACCCAGAGTCTAGCATCAGTGAAATCCCAGAAGGGCCAGAATCTGCTCTCCCGTCACTCGAACAGCTAACCAGAGCGGAGCCATCTCCGCTGCTTGCGGTTCACTTGGTTGATATACTGTACAGTTACTGCTTCACACTTCGCCTCCACAATGGCGATTGGCGCTCTGATCCTTTTGGTGCCTCTACTGTTGCGTTGTCTGTGTCAAAAGTCATGGGGGAGGATGCTAAACCTGAGACAGTATCTGAAGCCCTCACGGCATGTATAGAGGAGACATGCTCACCGGCTTACAGGCACACCGGAGGTTTCAGGTTTGCTATAGCTCTCGTGGATGATATCATCAGCCTTCTCACGTTAGGAGGCAATGCGCTTGTTTGTGCCCTCTGTGACTTCCGCAGGCTCATTCATATCGGTGAGAGGATGCTCAAGGCAGAGAAATTGGGCAAGGCGGAGCGATCACGGAGCACCCAAAAGCTTCGTGCCGCAGATAGGAAGTTGTACTTCATGACATGCTGGGTTCATGAGCAACCAAATGAGGCATGGTCGTCTTTAGCTCGCCTCGTTGAGGTGCAGAAAGCATCTCTGGAGGAGTTGGATTGCGGGAGTCAATTTCAAAGGGCTGGTAGAAAGAACGATGCCCAATCCAAGGTTCTTATTGAGGAGATTTGAGCGTGAGAATGTATTGATGCAAGTGATACTCATAATCTTCTTACCCCTATATCAGCTGTATCATGTATGGCTGTATAATCTTTGTTGTAAAGAACTTCGGATGTTACTTCCCCATGAGTTTCTGATGTCAAATCTGATATGTTAAAGGAGTTGTATGCAATTCTGAAATCCTGATATGAAAGCCATATTGGCAGAATTCAGATGCCAAATTCTGCAATTCTGAATTGTTGATCAGGTTTTGTTGTCTGTTCTATTGGCAGATTTTGTGTTTGAAAACTATTTCTGAACCTTATGGTGGCAGTTTCGCTCGTACTGCTTGTTGATCAGTACGAGTAGCTGGCTAGTTGCAAACTTGCATTACGTAGTTTTCATGAAAAGAAGAACAATCTAGAAGAGGCAAGCAAATTCTGGTTCTAGTCCCCACAGTTTGCGCCTTTGTGACGCTTGTGGCCGCTGCTGGCTGATGCTGATTGGTGGTAAGCTTCAACCGATTCCAATCGGCGTCAGCACGAAACCGTAGTATAAGTACAAAGTACTTTTCTGTTCCGGGTACAACCGTATACTAGTCATCAACTCGGTAGTCAAATTTTACATCTTGTTTTTAAACATGTCAAGACCCTTTTCACTTTTGTAGGACGTGTTTTGATTTTAAAAAGTCAACTTTGAAGATTTTTAACCAACAATCAATAAGCCCCCTTTAAACTTGGTAAAACGCAGCAAACATAAAGGAAACAGAAAAATTACAAAACGCAAAGAAGAATGATAGTAGTGGTTTGAATAAACCACATGAAAACACAACATAGGAATTGGACGGAAAGAAACAGACTAATCAAAACAAAATTTTCAAAAGATTACAATTCTTATTAATTTCCCGTGAAAATCTATATTCACTGAGACATTTTTAAGGAAGTTCATAAGACCTGAGAAGTTTCAATCCAATCTTTTTTTCAAAGACCAAACATGGACTTTTTTTATTACAATTTGGAATCCTACCAAAATTTTCCCAAAATTTAAAGGAAACTTAAACTACTTCAATGTGTTTTCACGCACGATTATTTCATTACTTTATACGCGTATATTTTCCGTTGCTTCTCGTGGTTTTTATCCGATCGCGAGACGAGAGCAAAGGAAGATCAGACGTCACCACTACTGACTCGTCTTCCTCCCACCTCGGTCGCGCCCCACGATTAACTCCGCCCCTTCTCGCCTCTTCCTTCGTGCTAACTACTACCGCCGCCGCCGCCGCCGCCGACGCCAAATCCCCAAACCCTAGCTCCGCCCTCGGCCTCGCCGCCGCCCGCCGCCATGGCGGAGACCGTCGACGACAAGGTCAGCTACTTCCAGGCGGTCACCGGCATCTCCGACCACGACCTCTGCACCGAGATCCTCGCCGCCCACAACTGGGACCTCCAGCTCGCCGTCTCCTCCATCACCGCCAACCCCTCCTCCCCCGACCCGGCCCCCTCCGCGCCCCTGCCCCCGCTGGCACCGAGGGAGGCGGATTTGGTCGCGCCGCACCTGCCTCCGCCTCCGCAGCAGCAGCAGCAGCAGCAGCAGCCGGGGATCGCGTGGAAGCTCGTGACGCTCCCCTTCTACGTGGTCTCCGGTGGGGTTGGGCTCATCGCCGGTTCGATCCGTCTCGGTGCCTGGGTCGCCGGAGGTGTGCTGTCTCGCTCCCTCTCCATCCTCGGCCTCGCGCAGGGCGGGGGCGGAGGAGGCGACCGGCTTCTCGAGCTGCCCCCGTCGGCGGCCGAGGCGGCTGACTTCGTGGCGGAGTTCGAGCGCGAGTTCGGCGCCGGCCGTGGCCCCCACTTCGTCGCCGAGGGCTTCGCGGATGCGTTGCAGCGTGCGCAGCGCGAGTACAAGCTTCTCTTCGTGTACCTGCACTCCCCTGATCACCCGGACACCCCTGCCTTCTGCGGTGGCTGCCTCTGCGCTGAGCCAGTCGCGGCCTTCATAGATGAGAACTTCGTTGCGTGGGGTGGTAGCATCAGGAGGACTGAAGGGTTCAAGATGAGCAACAGCCTGAATGCATCGAGGTTCCCTTTCTGCGCGGTGGTCATGGCGTCTACGAACCAGAGAATTGTGTTGTTGCGGCAGGTATGGTGTTGATGTGCTATTTATAATGTCTGAGAAATATGTTGGATTTGTTATCTAAGATCAGCTGCTGTGCTCCTTAGTTTATGTGGTTTCTGACTGTGGATTATCACATTGACTATAGTGTAGAGAGGCGTTTGTGTGAAACAATTCAATTTGTTGGGGGTTTAGTCCGGCAATGCTTTCCATTATTAGATCAACTTGTTATGCACCATTTGTTACAAAGTTCTCATCTGTATTAATTACGATGTTTTATTTGGTTACGACATGCCATTCCTGCGCTTTGAGAACATTGAGATGCAGTTGCGAGAGTTAGGCCATTGTTATGCATACAGACCCGGTTGCCATTTACAGTAGGATTAACTTTGAGTATAGTTGCTTCCTATATCATAGTTGTTTCAGCTTATTGTTTTCGAAGTGTTTATGTTGTTATAACTTAAAATCCATTTTGTGGATTTGGTATGTCTGCAATATGCTTTCTTAAATTAGATGTGTCATATGTTCTGTAAGTGATTTTGTTTCATGAATTAGAGTTGTTGTGACTTTGGGAGCTGATTTTGTTTCTCATTGATTTGCTTGGTTAGGATGAGATTTAGATGGGAGTCTTAGTGGAATTGTTTTATATATACTCAAATTCCTAGTCCCCAAACTATTTTATGGGATTAAATGGTGAGAGTTGGGCATTCAAATTTCTAAGCCAAAATCCCCTCACTTTAAGAACTACAATCCCTTATCTCATTCCCACCCACCAACTATCATGTGCAAAACATGATATAGGACACTCTGTCATTTACTCATTTACATCATCCTTGATAATTGCATTAGCTGGAATTTTGTGCAATACTCATGGATTTCAGCAACTACTGCTGATGATACTAGAAATTTGGTAATTATCTTTTCCTCTTAAAGTACCCTAGAAAACTAAGTTAATACATATCCCAAACTGGAGTTTTATCTGAATTGAATGTGTGAAGGGTGCTTTGGGGAAAAAATGTTTTACCAATGAGCAAGACAAATTCCAAATTTTCATCATTACCTTTTCATTTTAGATTTTTTAGGCATTCTCCTTTATGTTCTTTTAAATTTGTACACATTCACAAAACTTTCCTGTAGATAAAATTTCACACATAATATTATGGCAGTATCGAATTCTGTTTGCTTGACTACTGCACTGTGTTGAAACTAGCAGGTGATATATTTTGTTGTTCTAGATTGTTACGTTGATAGGTGAGAGTAAAAGATCAGGTTTTGTTCACTGTGCTGTTTAACAAATATATGCATTGTTATTAAAACTTGACTTGCTGTACTTGCTTTTCTCTGATACCCCATTTTATTTAATATTGTAGTCCATAGAATTCGTAGTGCGTGTATTCTCTATCAACAATACATTGTGCAATAATATAATCATCCAGCTTCTGTCAAGGCAGTGTTGCTGCTTACTCGCAAGTAATCCTACTGTTTGTTAGCACCACTCATTAGTATTTGAATGCTATTGCCAGGACTTATGTTAAGTCCTTAACGATGTTTTATTCTAGATCAAAATCGTGCAAACATCTTGTTTCCTTCCCAGCATTTGTGCATCATGCGTGATTATATTTATACCCCTAGAGCTCATCAGCTCAAGGCAGTTACTATGCCCCACATCGTTACTGGCATAACATTAGTCATTAATGGATCCAAAGCTCTGTACTCTTTTTTCTTGTCGTTTCAAAGTACCTTAGTATTTTTTTTCTGCTACCGTACAGTTATATAGTTGATCAATATTGCTCATGCATTTTCATTTTGTGTTCCGAAGATTGAGGGGCCCAAATCACCTGAAGAGATGATAACAACTCTTCAAGGGGCAGTTGAAGAATGCAGTGCATCACTCGTTGCTGCTAGGATTGATGCTGAAGAGAGGCTAAACAATCAACGCTTGCGTGAGGAACAAGATGCTGCTTATAGAGCTGCACTTGAAGCTGATCAGGTATGCTAAACTCTGGAGGCCATTTCTGTTCTTATATTATTGATGCGCTTTAGTACAAGAGTATGCATGCTGTGTAATATGGGTTCAACGATAGGGTCTGGGGTAGTTACATGACAATGGGGAACTAATTTATCTATATATTACACCTTGTTTTCATTTTCTTCAGCTAAGGGCATTGTACCGTTCTAAGGACAGTATTTGTGCATGGTAATGGGCACACTAATACATTAGTTAGTGAACTGATTAAAGCAGACCATAGAACGGTGCATACAGATTTTCTGCCAGTATTTGAATGTTTTGAAGCACCAACTTATTGAGCAATTCCTTCTCTCTTTTTTTTTGGTAAAATTACCAGTCTAGGGGAAAACGATTTTGGTTGGTCCTAATGGATGTTGTTGTACCAGGCCAGGGAACGCCAACGGAGAGAGGAGCAGGAAAAGCGTGAAAGAGAGGCTGCAGAGGCTGAGAGAAAGCGCAAAGAAGAAGAGGAGGCTCAAGAAAGGGCTGCCCAAGAAGCAGCTGAGAAAGAAGCCGCTCTTGCAAGGAGGAGACAAGAGAAGGCCATGGCTCTTGGAGCAGAACCTGAGAAAGGACCAGATGTTACTCGAGTATGTTCACATTCTTTGTCCATCTTCCTTATCAACCTGTTATGATCTTATTCTAGGATAATGTGCTGACAAGTTACAACCACATTTGTCTACTTTTGATGACTAAATACAATACAGTAGCAGCTATGCTAGATTGCTTTTATTAGTGATGCAGAAGGCTTCAGTAAGCTTATTCATCTCTGTGGAGCTACATGATAGCTTTGAACGCAACACATCATGACTAATTTTTTGATTTGTACCTTCACAAACCATGCATTCTACGTATAGGTGGTTTGTTTAGTAGTAATTTTCTTTAGATGTTAGCACAGATATTTCTAAACTGCTGATGATCTGCGTTGTATCTGCAAATTCTTTGGAACTAATAAAGGACCGTGCTGATGATTTTGTAGGTTCTTATAAGATTTCCAACTGGAGAGCGCAAAGAAAGGAGATTCAACAGTTCCACTACCATCACTTCACTGTATGACTATGTTGATTCTTTGGACTGCTTGAAAGCAGAGAAGTACAGCCTAGTTTCGAACTTCCCGAGGGTGACATACGGTCCAGAAAAACTCTCCCAAACGCTGGAGGAAGCAGGTTTGCATCCGCAGGCGAGCTTGTTTATTGAGATAGAACAATGAGGTGTTAAGTTTGTAAGTTCTGAACGGAAACCTGCAGGTATAGGTGCTCCTTTTACAATTTATTTAACAACAGTGAGGAACTTCTTGTATGACATTATACTGAGAAATGTCTTCGATGCAAATCTTCTTTTGTGCTTCTCATTTATATTCAATAAATTCACCTTCACCCAGATCAACTGACTTGAGCAATGTTCTTGTAAATATACGTTTATGTGGCCATGTTTGAGACTCAGTCCTCTAGTACGTGGTATTGAGTGAGATCTTAAATGCAGCAGACGGAATGATACATTTGAAATTGATTTTGTTGGCAAGAGTTTGGCTCTCCATGCCTTAGTATGAAGTGTATACGCGTGATTTAACAATGGGAAAACAACTGTTTGAAAAAAAAATCTACTCAATACATGGGAGTATGTATGTAACGTGCTAGGGTCTTGAAAAAAAAATACAGGGTCTCCACAACCCAACGTCTGACTTCAAACATGAGCTATGAGAAAAAAATGTAATCGGACCTCAATGTACAATTGAGCTATGAGAAAAAATTGTAATCGGATCTCAATTACAATTGTTTTCGGCTGCACAGATGAATACTGCACAGACGAATACTGCACAGACGAGTACCACATTTTGCTGAAGCTGTGGAAGATAGAGGTGATATTGTACAGTTAAACCTATCCATAGCTGGGATTGGGATCCTCTCTATGTGAAGTCGGAGGGTCGTGGTGACTGACATGTGGGCCCCACTGCTCGCGGGCCCACCTGTCAGTGACTACGTCACGTGGCAGTTCACGTTAGAGGAACGCGAGTGCGCTGCTTTGTGATTTGTGCTGCCAAGTGCCAGCTATCCCGTACTCGCCATAAGCCCAGACAAATCCGCCTCCATGCGAACGCGATCTCCATTTCTCCCCCGCCGTCTCCGCCTCCACCAAAAACCCTAACTAAACCCTAGATCGCCACTCCACCGCGCCGCGCGTCGCCTCTCTCGCTGCCGGCGGATACTCCGCCCGTCGGCTAAGCTATGGAAGATAAAGGTGATCCCCCGAGCAAGCTCGATGGCTCCGAGAAGAGTCCACTCCAGGAGATCCAGTCCGCGAAGCCGGCGGTTATCCTCACCGCCTCGGACGACCACGCCTCTGCCCTCGCCGCCGCGGGCGTCCACGCCTCCTCCCTCACCACCGCGGGCGACTGTAACACTACGCCACCGCGAAACTCGCCGCCGACGAGAGAGAGAGATATTTAGACGAGATCGGAGTTGGGGATGAAGAGAAACAGAGCTGAGGCAGAGGAGAGACAGAGTTTGGAGAGAGATAGATTCGATTTCTTTTTGCCAGGTTGGCCACAACCATTCTCTCTCTCGAGTATTTATCTCCTGATTACATGGACCGTTGGCCCAAACGATTTAAGGCAAGCAGGCCGCATTCTATTTGATAAAGTCTAGCCCAAAACACACACACACACACACACACACACACACTATCATTCACAGTTAAACCTCTTTCTCAGTGTCACCATTGTCGGTCATGACAGTGCCGCCCGCAGGAGTTTCAGCTTGTCCCCAAGCTGGAGCATCTGGAAAGCGAGTCTTCACAACATGATAGTCCTCCCAAGTAGCATGATCTGCTGGTAATAAAGACCATTTCAGCAACACCTGGACATGAGCTGCATTGCCGCGCTTCACTAGTCGACGCTCCAAAATCGCCTCAGGAACAACGTCAGCAGCATCAAGAACCACTGGGGATGGCAAAGAAGTATAAACAGGAGTATGATCTGGCACCTGAGCTTTGAGTTGAGAAACATGAAACACCGGATGCACAGTGCTGCTGGCAGGTAGATCCAAACGATAAGCCGCCACTCCAATGCGCTCCAAAACAGTAAAAGGGCCAAAGAACTTATAAGCCAACTTAGGATATGGTCTATTAACTACTGAGGACTGAGCATAAGGCTGTAACTTCAAGAAAACAGCATCACCCACAGCAAAAACACGGTCAGAACGACCTTTATCAGCCTTGTTCTTCATACGCAGCTGGGCTCGAGTTAACTGCTGCTGTAAAAATTCAGACAAGTGCTGCCTTTCAGTCTGAACATCCACCACATCAGGCAGAGTAGCCAATGTCAGATCAGGAACTTGAGAATAATGAGGATCCACCCCAAAAAGAGCCTTATGAGGAGAACAGCCAAGAGATGTATGATAATTTGTATTGTACCAAAATTCTGCCAAATGAATCCAATGGCTCCACTTCTTAGGGTTAGCCTGAGTCATGCATCGTAAATACATTTCCAAACACTGATTGACACGCTCTGTTTGGCCATCTATTTGCGGGTGATATGCTGTGCTCATCTGTAATTGAGTGTCCCAAGTAGCAAAAAGAGTTGTCCAGAACTTGCTAGTAAAGAGACGATCACGATCAGACACAATAGAACGAGGGATGCCATGAGTTTTAAATACAGTTTTGTCCACCAGATGAGCCACTTGTGATGCAGTGAATGGATGACACAAAGGAATGAAATTCGCATACTTAGTAAAACGATCCACCACCACCAAAATTGCATTATAACCATCAGAGCGCGGTAAACCTTCAATAAAATCCATGGAGATGTCCTGCCAGGCCTCTTTTGGAATTGGGAGAGGAGCTAACAGTCCAGGAAGCCGACAGTGTTCATGTTTGGCCTGTTGGCAAACCTGACATTGCTTCACAAAATTTTCAACATCCAACTTGAGACCAGGCCAAGCAAATAATTTCTTAATCTGATGATAAGTAGCAGCAATCCCAGAATGGCCACCAAGTGCAGAAGCATGAAAAGCTTGAATCAACTTAGTATGCAGTCCTGCATTGGATCCAATCCAAATCTTATTCTGGAATCTAATAATCCCTTGTGTCAATGAATACCCTTGAGAATTAGGAGAATGCACAGCCAACTCAGCTAGTAGCTGCTGAGCTTGAGGATCCACTGTATAAGAATTGATCACCTCCTGAATCCAGATCGGTTGGACCACAGAAAGAGCACAAAATTGAGAGGAGGAAGGCATTCTAGATAAAGCATCAGCAACAATATTATCAACCCCTCTCTTGTATTGAAAAGAATATTGCAAACCCATCAATTTAGTCATTGCCTTTTGCTGTAATTCAGTCCCCAATATTTCATCATCCAAATGACACAAGCTTTTGTGATCTGTTTTAATGATAAATGGACCTCTCTGCAGATAACATCTCCACTTATCCACAACCATCATAATAGCTAGAAACTCTTTTTCGTAAATGGACAATTTCTGATTAACAGGACCCAAAGTTTTGCTATAATAAGCAATAGGGTGACCCTGCTGACTTAAAACAGCACCAAGACCATAAGCACATGCATCAGTCTCCAAAGTAAAAGGAAGCTGAAAATAGGGCAAAGCTAACACTGGAGTGTTACTCATAGCTGTCTTCAACTGATCAAAAGCAAGCTGAGTAGCATCAGTGTCACACCCCGAAGTTCTCCTCCCAAGCCTAAAATTTAATTTATAAGAGGCCCTAAGAAAATACCGGTGCAAAGCAAGAGTAAACCCTTTTAAATCAATGCAAATAATAATCGGAATGGGCATGTGGAATTTTTCTTGAGTTCTACATGTCGAAATTCACTAACAGGATTTTTAGTGGAATTTTCAGAGCTCTCGAAATAATTTTAACCAATTAAAATTGAGCATAAGCAATATTTAAATCCCTCGAAATTCCTTTCTTCCTTTTTCTTTTTTTTCTTTTTCCTTTTTCCTTAGTGGGCCGCCGGCCCACTTCCCCTCCTCTCTCCCCCGGCCGGAGGCCGCGCCCCAGCCCAGCCAGGCCACCCCGCCGCCCTCCTCTCCCGGGGTCGCCGACAGGTGGGGCCCACCTGTCGGGTCCTCCCCCAACCTCCCGCCGCTCCCGCCGCCCCGCCGCGCCCGCAACCGCCGCCGTGCCCACGTCTCCGCCTCCTCCGGGCCACGTCGCCCACGCCGCGCGTGCGCCGCGTTCCCCGCGCCCACTCCCCTCTCTCTCCCGCCCGCGCCCGCGCCCGAGATGGCCGGGATTCGATTTTCGAATCCCGCCTCTCTCTCCTCCCCCACTTCCCCCATGTTGGCCGGCGAAATCCCGCCTCTCCCGGCCACGTCCGGCCCCCTCTCTCCCTATTTAAGCTCCGCCGTCGCCCCCTCTCGCTTTTTCCCCATTTCGCCGAACTCTCCCGAGCCTCCCATCGCTCCCGCGCCGTGCAACCTCTTGCCGCCGCCGTTTCCGCCACTCCGGCCGCCGCTAGCCGCCGCTAGGCTCGCCGCCGCACCGCGCCGTCGCCACCGTCGGGTTCGCGTGGCCGAGATCCACCCCGTCCACCCCTCCTTCGTCGAGGTTCGCCGCCGGAGTGCCATTCCCATCGTGCGACGGTGAGGGCCGCCATGCCCGCCGCCTTCGGCCGGCGGTTCCCGCCTTCTATGGTCCCTCTCTCCCTCTCTAATCTTTTTCTTTTCGTTCTTTAGGTCGTCCCGGTCGCCGTCCGCCGCGTGTCGACCTCCCTCCGTCGCTCCTCGTCGCCGGTCGCCGCCGTCCCCTCCGGTGAGGACTCCCTCCCCTTTCCTTTCCTTCCCCGATTCCCCGTGCGTCGTCGCCACCCGCGCTCGCCGTCGCCTTCGGTCGCCGCCGCCGTCCGCCGCCGCCTTCGCGACGCCTTTGCGCCGTCGCCTCCGCCGCCGGATGCCATCGCCGGTAGCGCGTACGCGCGCGCGCGCCGTCGCCATCGCCGCGACCGGTCGGCCGGCCTTGAGCCAAGCCGAGCCGGGTCGCCGCCGCCCTTTCCTCTCCCGTGCGCCGCTGACCGGTGGGCCCGCGTGCCGCCGCCCCTTCCTTCCCTCCCCCTGAGCCGCTGACCGGTGGGCCCGCGTGCCGCCGCCCCTTTCCTCCCTCTCCCGAGTCGCTGACCGGTGGGCCCCGCTTGCCGGCGCCGCACCCCCTCCGTGCTGACGTCAGCCCTGGGATTTATTGCGCAATAAATGATTTAAGATTTTTCTTTTATAGTAATAAACACAGTGTATCTTCTAAAATTCATAACTAATTCATCCGAGCTCCGTTTAAGCCCATTCAAGTCTCAGTAAATCAAGAAAAATGTGTAGAATCCATTAAAAATGGTTTTGTTCCCTGTTTCAGTAGTCTTATAGTCTGTTTGCAATGTTTGC